CTGGCCTCGTGCATGGCATGTGGACCTGTTCCCAGCACTCGTGCCCAGGGGCCCTTATTCCTATGGCCCAGGGCAGCTGACTCAACTTTCACCTTCAGGCCCCCGCAGGGGGTCAACAGGGCCAGCTCCAGGCACAGGAAAAATGACACAGTCAGCCACCAGGAAATCCTGTTCCCTCAGTACCAACGGGGTACCGCGAGAGCAGCCTGTGGTGGGGAAGAGACTTCCCCAAGCTGCAGGCGAGACAAGGAATGTCCACATGACTGTGTATGTGGCCTGACTTCCATGTGAAGGAAAATCCCATGTGAAAAAGAAAAAAAATCAGACTTCTTTTGTGTCTTGCTTGGGTTCCTAAAGAGTATCAATGGCCTTCACCAAAGACCCCAGGAATACACTAGTAATGAAACAAGCTGAGTTATCATTTACAGCAGCAGTGAGGGGGTGGGGCGCACATGCCATGAGCTACCCTGAGCATCTCAGGAAGAGGGTATTAAAAGGAACCCAGGACAGGATCTGGGGTGGAGGTTGGGCACTGAGAGAGACCAGAGGCAATTCTGAGCTGGGTAAGGAAGGAGAAGTAACTCATTTAGCAAGAGAGGGGGATGTTGGGATTTTGAGGGTATCACAGCCACCTTGCCCTTAGACACGATTATAAAGGGGACTTGCATAGTCTTAGAGTTTTTGTCTGAGGTCAGTGTTCTGTTAGATTGTGGAAGTCCAACAGGAGAACAAAGTAACCTGGCTCTGAGTGTTAGAATCATTCCCTATGCTCTGTTTTCTTCTTTCTCAATGGTAACCCATATTTACTGAACTTTTGCTAGTACTCAACTTCCTGTTAAATTCTTTCTGTCTTTTTTTTTATTATTTTTTTTTAATTTTTTTTGAGATGGGGTCTTGCTCTGTCACCCAGGATGGAGTGCAGTGGCATGATCACGGCTCACTGCAGCCTTGACCTCCTCAGCTCAAGCAATCCTCCCCGCTCAGCCTCTTGAGTAGCTGGGACTGCCCAGCTCTGTTGAAGTCTTTGTATCAAGATTGGTAAACCGCGGCCCTTCACATCCAGCCTACTGCTTGTTTTTTATACAGCCTGGGAGCTAAGAATCGTTTTCGTATTTTTAAGTGGTTGAAATAAATCAAAAGAAGAAAAATATTTTGTGACATGTGAAAAATTATATGATATTCAAATTTCAGCCCAGGCGTGGTAGCTCACGTCTGTAATCTCAGCACTTTGGGAGGCCGAGGTGAGAGGATCGGCTGAGCCCCAGAGTTAGAGATCAGCCTGGGCAACAGAGCAAGACCTCCCTTTTACCAAAAAAACAAAAAAACAAAAACAAACCAACCAAAAAAACCCACAACAATTAGCCGGGCATGGTGGCACACGCCTGTGGACCCAGCTACTTGGGAGACTGAGGTGGGAGGATCACTTGAGCCCGGGATATCGAGGCTATTGTGAGCTGAGATCGTGCCACTGCCTTCCAGCCTGGGCAACAGAGCAAGACCCTGTCTCAGAAAAAAAAAAATTGTTTTTTGATTTCCCCCAAATAAAAGTTGAGCCACACTCAAGCATTGATGTGTTGTCTGTGGCTGATTTTCTGCTCCTATGACAGAGATATGTTGTTATGACAGAGACCTCATGGCCCCCCAAAACCTAAAATGTTTACTATCTGGCTTTTTACAGAAGTTTGCTGATCCCTGCTTTTAATAGGTTAACTCTTGTTTTTTGTTTGTTTGTTTGTTTGTTTGTTTGTTTTGAGGCGGAGTTTCGCTCTTGTTGCCTAGACTAGAGTGCAGTGGTGCTATCTCGGCTCACTGCAACCTCCGCCTCCCGGGTTCAAGCAATTCTCCTGTCTCAGCCTCCCCACTAGCTGGGATAACACGCATGCACCACCACGCCCAGCTAATTTTGCATTTTTAGTAGAGACGGGGTTTCCCCATGTTGGTCAGGCTGGTCTCAAACTCCCAGCCTCAGGTGATCCACCCACCTCAGTTTCCTAAAGTGCTGGGATTACAGGCGTGAGCCACTGCACCCGCCAGTAGATTAACTCTGTAATTCTCATGACAGTCCTAGAGTAGTTACTTCCATCTTATAAATTAAAGAACTGAGATATAGGGAGATTAAGGGATATACCCTAACCAGGGTTTCTCAACTTCATTACCAATGACATTTGGGTGGGATAATTCTTTGCTGGGGTGGGCTGACCTGTGTATTGCAGGATGTTTAGCAGCATTTCTGGTCTGTAACTAATAGATGCCAGTAGTACTTTACCCTTCCACCCAAGTTGTGATAACCAAAAATGCCCCCAGACATTGCCCAACGTCCTTTGGGTACAGAATTGGCCCTCGCTGGGAACCACTGACCTAAAGTCAGATAGTAAGTGATGGAACTAGGATTTGAACCCAAGACTGATGTGTTTGGCCACCAGCCACACACCCAACTCCCAGGGGTGGGTTATTTTACTCTTAGTGGTGGTTCTAGCTGCAAGAACATTTAATTCATTCTAATTTTCTTTTCCCCAAAACACTGTCAAAGGCTGCTGGGGAGTCTGGTCTATCAAGCACAGCAATATCTTTATTATTTTTGTGTGTTTGTTTTAAGAGACAAGGTCTTTCTTTGTCACCCAAGCTGGAGTGCAGTGACATGATTATACCTCACTGCAGCCTCCAACTCCTGGGCTCAACTGATCCTCCACCTCAGCCTCTGGAGTAGTTGGGACTACAGGCATGCACCACCACGCCCAGCTAATTTTTTTAGAAAATGTTTTTTAGAGATGGGGTCTCACTGTCTGGCCCAGGCTGGTTTCAAACTCCTGGGCTCAAGCAATCCTCCTGCCTCAGCCTCCTGAGTAGCTGGGATCATAGGCGTGAACCACCACAGTCGACCAGAGAAATAACTTTAAAAACGAAGTCAGCTCCTGTCCTGAGCCTCCTCTGCTCAAATGCTACCCTAGTTCCCACATGACTCAGAGGAGAAGCCATAGTCCTTCCTGTGAGCTCTGAGATCCCTGCATGATCCCACCCACTTCCTACCACCTCTATCCCCTGCCACTTCTCTTACCTTGCCTCCTCTTACTCTTCTCCTCCCTTAGGCCCCTGCAGCCCCACTGGCCTCCCCTTTGCTTCCTGGGTGTGCTCCTACCCCAGGGCCTTTGCACCTGCTCTTTCTTGCCCCAGATGTTTGCATGGCTCACCCTCTCACCTTCAGGTCTTGATCTGAAGTCAAATTTTCCTTCTCTATCAGACTCTCTTTGAGCCTTGGTGTCTCACCCAAGGATGCCTGGCTCCTTCCCTGCCTCGCATGGCATGCATCTTCATTTGACATACTGCATATGTTACTTAGTCGTGTGTGGTCTGTCTCCCCCACCGGATATCAGCTCCATGAGGACATGGACTTTCATCTTTTGTCACTCAGCACCAGGTGCATGGCGGGTACTCCGCAGCGATTTGCTAATGGATCAGTTGGCTAGGGTTCATGTGCCCCATTTGGGCTCTGGGTTCCAAGTTGCACCAAGCTCTTATCTCAAAATAGCTGAAACACATCCACCACTTATTACTCTCAGGGTCTCCATGGTCACCAGCCAAATCCAGCCACCATCATCTTAGATGGAAAATGCAACAGATCCAGAACTGGGCTCCCAATTTCCATTTTTACCCCTTCCCCTACATCCATTCTCTCGGACCAGGCCCAGAGGTGTTTGCAAAATGTAAATCGTATTGCCTTGGGCATTAAATCCTGCAGCAGGTCCCCATCCCTGATTTAGTTCCCACGGGCCTTTGCCCACCCTGTCCCCATCCCCCATCTCCCCTAGGCTTTTCCTCTACACCTCTTTCCCAGCACATGGGGCTTCCTCAGTTCTTCATCTCAGCCAAGCGCCTTCTTACTGCCGGGCCTTTGTGCTTGCTGTTCCTGTTTCCTTGCACCATCTTCCCAGGGCTCTTCATAGGATGGATTCCATTTTATCCTTGAGGTCTCAGATCTGATGCCATCAGCACACAGTGTCTTCTCTGTTGAAGAGAGAACCCACCTACTTGCCTCTCTACATTCCAGTCACATTGCCCAGTTCTATTTCCTCCATACATTTGTCCCTACCTAAAATTTTCTTTATTCGTTTATTGCCTGTCTCCCCTTCTAGAGTATGACCTCCATGGAAGCCAGGGGCCTTGTTCTATATTGTTCACAGAGTACCCTGAGAACATAGTCAATAACACATAGTAGGTTCTCAATAAATACTTTTTGGATGAATGAATGAATGAATGAATGAATGGACAATTGGGGTCATCCAACACATTGATGATTCATTACCATTCGTAGCTGGCCTTTCACAACTTTGGCAATGGCTGCTCAGGTAAGCCTAGGCTTGAGTTATGGATTGTCAAGCAGCCCTGCAGCTAAACCCCTACCAACAGGCCTGGGCACATCTTCACATATGGATGGTAGGACAGGAGGATAAAATGCTGAATGATTTTTCTTTTTCCTTTCCTTTTCCTTTCCTTTCCTCTCCTCTCCTCTCCTCCCTCCCCTCCCCTCCCTTCCCCTTCCCTCCCCTTCCCTTCCTTTCTTTTCCCTCTCTTTCTTTCTTTCCTTCTTTCTTTCTCTTCCTTCCTTCCTTTCTCTCTTTCTCTTTCTTTCTTTTCTTTCTTTCCTTCTTTCTTTTCTTTCTTTCTTTTCTTTTTTCTTTCTTTCATTCCCTCCCTCCTTCCTTTCCTTTTCCTTCCTTCCTTCCTTCCTTTCTTCCTTCCTTCCTCCCTCCCTCCCTCCCTGCCTCCCTGCCACCCTCTCCCTCCCTGCCACCCTCTCCCTCCCTCCCCCTCCCTCCCTCCCCCTTCCTCCCTTCCTCTCTCTCCTTCCCTCTCTCTCTTCTTCCTCTCTCTTTGTCTTTTGATTCAGTGAATAGTATAGGATCCTTGGCAAAGAAAGCATTCTTGACTAACTTCACAAGATTTGGGATACTCCTGTTCCATTCACTACATTACACTAAAGACATCATGCTCTTTCCTCCTAGCTGCTGTGCGGAGAAACGGCCTACACACTGTGCCCACGGAGATGCAGTTTCTCGCCAGCACAGAAGCGTAAGTTATTGGTGAAATTCGTAGAGGAGACAGTGCTTGATTCAAGGAGACAATGAACAAGAATTCAATGCTGCAAATCATTTTCCTCCCATCCCTGAATTTTTCTCCAAACGACCTAATGCCTAAGTTTCCACCATTCATCTCTGTGGCTTAAACACTAACCTCAACAGCCTCCTTTAAAAAAAAATGCAGACATGGAAAGGGTAGGGCAGTATATTAAATCCCTAAAGATCTGGTGAGATTGAGGATCACAGGTACTTTCCTCTTGAAAGAAGAGATCCAGAAGAGCAAGATAGCACAAACTGCATGACACAAGGAGGAGAAGGGTGCAGGCAGGGTTAACAGTCCTTACAGACAAAAAAATACCTTATAGAACAATAACAGCCCTTCACCCTACATGACTTAGAAAGCATCTTCACATTGATGTTGAAATTGCATTTAGTCTAGAGTATCCTTTGCATTATGGCAATGTAGTTAAGATCATAGGATTTGGAGTCGCAAACACCTGACTTGGAACTCTGACTCTGCTCCATACTGGCTGTGTGAGATAATGAGAAAATGTAGATAGAGCAGGTTCACTGGACCTTACATGTCCAGATGTTAGCACTTATTATGGCATTGTGATCTCAATTTAACAGTGATGACACAACTGGGAGCCAAGCAGTCTGCTCAAGACAGTGCTGGACATTGATCCGGTCTATTTCATTCATTCAGCAAATATTTATTCAGAGCTTACGATGAGCCAGGCACTATTCTAGGGATGGAGATACAGCAAGGAACAGACAGAAAGCCCAGCCCTTATGGGTTTACATTCTAGTGGCAAGAAACAGATAAGTGAATATAATCCATGGTTTGTTGGGTGGTGGATAAGCTTTGGAGGGCGATCAAAGCAGGAAAGAGGGTGGGGGAGGCGAGCTGGTAAGTGGGAAGGGGCAGTTTGAATGTGGGTAGTCAGGGAAGTCCTCACAAGAAGGTCGTGCTTGAGCAAATCTCTGCAAGAGGTGGGGAGTGGTGGGGGTATCCGTGGGGAGTGGTGGGGCTATCCATGGGAAGAGTGTTCTCAGCATGTAGACCAGCACATACAAAGCTCCTGAGAGGTCAAAGAGCAGCCAGGAAGCCAGTGTGGCTGGAGAATCTCAGTTACTCGGGAGGCTGAGGCAGGAGAATCGCTTGAGCCCGGGAGGCAGAGGTAGCAGTGAGCTGAGATCATGCCATTGCACTCTAGCCTGGGTGACAAGAGTGAAGCTCTGTCTCAAATAAATAAATAAATATAAACAAAATAAAATAAAATTGATAATGCTATATATGCTGTTTTGTAACCTGCTATTTCACTTTTTTCCTTCATTTCAGTCTGTTTCCAAATACCTATTTTACTTAATGGAGAATAGTGGACATCATATAATGCCATAATGTTGGCCTCAATAATGCCAACATTATGATCTTTTAATTATATACTTAAAAATTCTTAATGTCATTATTTCTCAAAACTCTTTAACTGTGCAAGGAAAACAACCCAGAAAATAAAAAAGAAAAAAAGTATGTAATTCCACTCCTGAGAAAGATATCAAAACAACTTGCATATATTTCTAGATTTTAAATATTTTTATATTCATGAAACATAGCTATTTCTTTATTTTTATTTATTACTTATTAATTTTTTTTAGAGACAGTGTCTCACTCTGTCACCTAGGCTGGAGGGCAGTGGGGCAATCATAGCTCACTACAGCCTCAAACTTTTGGGCTCAATCAACCCTTCTGCCTCAGCCTCCCAGGTAGCTGGAACAACAGGTGTGTGCCACCATGCCCAGCTGATTTTTTTATTTTTTTATTGAGATTGGGTCTCACTATATTGCCCAGGCTGGTCTCAAACTCCTGTCCTCAAGCAATCCTTTGCCTTGGTCTCCCAAAGTGTTGGAGTTATAGGAGTGAGCCACCACGCCCATGAGTATTTATACAATAAAAAACTAAATGGTACTGTGACATACCTTTTCACCATAGTTTGCGAATGGACAACTTTCATCTTAATAAGCATCCATTTAATAGCTGCATTGGTGTTCCATCCAGGAAGAGAGTCATCTTTATTATCAGCCCCTTTTAGATGGGCATTTAGACTGTTCTTCATTTAAATTATATTTAATGGCATGGTGACTTCCCTTGTACCCACCCCTGAGACACTTGTCTATTTCTTTAGGATACATTCTTAGAGTAGAATATCTGTACTGTAGAGTTGCACCTTGTTACAGGTTTTTGATACCTGTGCCAAATTACCTTCTAGAAAGATCACTCAGCTCCCCAACCCCTGGGCAGTCTGTGGCCTATTCTCCATGTGTTCTGAATGGCTTCTCTTTGGATTTGTTTAAAGCAAAGACCACCCTGGGGAGACGGAGGTTCCACTGGATCTGCTGGCGGACTCCAGGAAGGAGGATGAATATCGTGGGAACATCTGGAAGGGCTTCCTCATCTCTATCCCCTACTCAGCCAGCATTGGGGGCACAGCCACACTCACAGGCACAGCCCCTAACCTCATCCTGCTTGGCCAGCTCAAGAGGTAGAAAGCAAGAGTCCCCACCAGCAGGGAGGGTTCTGCTCCTCCCCTCCTCTTCCCTCCTTCATTCAACATCCAGGGAATGTGTGTTGAGGGCCTTCTCTGGGCCAGACTCTGCGAACACAGCAATACACAAAATCCAGTGAGATCCCTGCCCTTGGGGAACTTCCATTCTGGCGGGAGAGACAGGCAATAAGTGAAAAAGCAAATGAATATAAAACATATCTGTGTGATAAGTTAGGAAAAAAATACAGCAGGGAAAGAGAATAGAAGTGAGGAGAGTAGGGTGCTAGTTTATGTAGGTTGGTCAGGGACACTGGTTCTCTCTGATGGGCTGACATTTGAGTAGAGACCTAGAAGGGAATGAGCCATGTGGACACAGGAGGGAAAGGCATTGCCAACAGTGACAGCGGGGAGTAGCTCCTACAGGGCTTGGAGGTGGAGCTGTTCCTGGGGAGGTTCAGGGACCAGCAGGAATACCATGGAGATGAAGAGCCTGGGGCAAAGGGCAGGTGAGAAGACATAAGGTGATAGTGGTAAGTGTTGTCTAAGGACTCCAGCTTTTCCTCCAAGTGAGATGGGGGTCATTGGAAAGGTGACAGCAGAGGAGTAACCCAGTGGGAGGCATGGGTCTGTGGCTGTCATGGCCCGAGAGAAGCCTTCCAGCCATAAGCAGAGTCCCCCAGTGGAGTGGTCTCTGCTGGGAGCTAAGGTCTCCCACCCCTGGAAGTGGTCAGCAGTGACTGGGTGGCCGGTCAGGACATGAGGATAAGAGAAAGATGCTCCAACTGCACAACTTGCCGCTCCCATTATTTTAAGCCTCTGGTTTCCAAGATTTTAAAACTTCAGTATTTCAAGATCCTGTCTCTAAGACTTTTAGGTTCCAGGATTCCAAGGCAGGGTTTCTAAGGTTCCTTGCAGTGGAGATGTAGCATAGGTTCATTTAATTTACATAAATGCAAATATAAGCATTTGACCAACAAAGGGCACCAAAAAGTATTTGATATTCAACATGGCCGCAAATACTAGCCGACTTCTTTACCTGTTGCCCAACCAAAGAATCAAAAACACGTGGGGATGAAGGGAGGCCCTGCTGATCTCCCCGAGAGAGGTTTGCTATGTGTGCAACCCTCAGTAACATACAAGTGAGTAATTACAGGTATTTTCACAAGAGATTTTAGTACACCCATGTCTGGCCTCATGCTGATTTTAAAACCTTAACCCCTGGATGAGATGAATTGCCAATACATTCTCAGATTCCAAAATGCTTTGTTTTAAGATTGGATGATGGAAACCAATGATTGTCAACCATGAACTGGGAGAGGTGGAAAAAAAAAAAAAAAGTCATAGGTATGTTTCACCAATTGATTTAAGCCCGCTGAGTTTTACTGCAAACCTTAAATGTCTTTTAATCTCTATCCTTTAAACAAGGCTGGCCTTCTGGTTTTAGCTCAGTGACAGAAAAACCAGAAGCAAAGATGGCCCTGCTTCCGGTGTGGGGAGGATCTAGGCTCAGCCCTTTAGTGTTCTGCGGAGGGGAAGGTAGGCATTTGGTATTAGGGTTTGCCGGGACCCATCCCCAGGAGTGGACAGGAAGATGTGGGCTGGGGGGATGGAGAGCAGAGCCTAGGTTGGGGATGGGGAGAATTGGAGGGGAGCAGTTGTTGTCAAAGCGTTTTCAGGCTGCCTGCCTGTCCTGATATGAGTAGGACTTTGTTCCAACCTGAAATGAAATTGGGGAAATTATATGTTTTTTATATGTTTATTTCATATTTATATTTTCTGAAATATATCTTATGTATATTTAAGTATATATTAACATATAATACATAAAATATATAATATTAACTATATATACAGTAAAAATATCAAATGTAGGATTTCAAGTTAATTACATGCAAATCTTATGCAACACAAGGGCTCAAATGTAGACCCTCTGGTGTAGGAAGAGGGGATTTAAAAGGAATGCTAGGTAATACGTGATTTTGATTCTCCAGCTGAGAACAGGAGAAGCCTTGGGAGACAGAAGTGATTTCCCTGAGTGGTCCTTTAGCCCTTGTTGCCAAAATACATTTTATTGGTTTATTCTGATTATAAAATGATATTGGCACATTAAAGAACATTTGGAAAATGTAGAAGAAGAAGTTTGAAATACCTTCAATCCCACTGTCGATATTTTAAGACTTTCTTCTAGACTTTTCTATGTCCATATATGAAATGTGTATATATTTAACGTTTTTGCCAGTATGCTCTTAATACAGTTTTATAGTCTGATTTTATTATTAAAATTTTTTAGAAAACATAATTTTTAGTGACTATGTATTATCTTATTTTGGGTGTACATACTTTAATCTTAAGCATTTAGATTGTTTTCATTTTATGATAATTATTATTTTGCTATTACAAATTATGTAACTGACAACACACTTGCTGATATTTTAATATTTTTAAAACAATATTTTTATTTTGTCTAATTATAGAGGTATACTTATTCATTGTAGAAAATACAGGTAGAGAAAAAGGAGGAAATAAAAACCACTTAGAATCCCACTATATAGAGTTTATTAATATTTTTGTTTGCTTATTTATTATATAATAACTGTTAATGTTTTGGTTTATTTCCTTATTTATTTACCTAGAAATGTCCGTGAGTATCCACATACTTTTGTATACATCATTCTATAACTTACTTTTCCTCTTTTCAATCTAGCACTTATATTCCTGACCACATTTCTGGTTTTTTGTTTTAAAATTTATTTATAGTAGTAGAATTTCTGGATAAAAGGATATGCACACTTTTAAGACTCTTACTGCATTTTACCAAATCCCTCTCCAGAAAAGAGTATTCTGATGAGCAAACATCAAGAATCTGCCTGTTTTTCCACATCTTCACCAGCACTAAGTGTTATTGCCCTTCATCCTTTCAGGCTTGATGATGTCTTAATAAAACTGAGATTGGACACCGTTTAGTAGAGAAAGAACTCATCGGCATCACCATTGCCTGGACAAAATGCCCAGGGTCTTTGAGCATGTATAATAAAGAGGGCAAAGGTTTCAGCCTACAGATGTGTTATGCTTGACTCCCACATTCATTAAAAACATTTTCATGAATTGCCAACATTTAAACATCACATAATTTCAAGTGGGTTTACTGGCCCTGCACTCTTGCATGGCAACCCTGGGGGAGCAAATAGCAGCTGACCCCTTTAATGAGCACGGCTCTCTTCAATTCACCATGGCCGGCCTGGCCTGTTTCACTCACTCAGGTACCTGTCTGGCCTCCAGGGGGCAGAGATTTTGACTGTAGCGCACCCATTGGTCCCATTGGGTCAGAAGCCAGCAGCCTCCAAAGAAGAGGAAAAAAGAGTACTTCTATTAGAATAGGTGGAAAACAATGTTCCCAAGACTTCCATGGGACCCGCTCATTCCCCTCTTGACCCACTACTACTAGTGCCGCCTGGTCTCCTCTGCCACTCCCCAAATGGGCATGGCTGCCCTTGGCCTGTTCTCATCTCCCACTGTTCTCCAGTTTCTTTCCACAGTGTGACGTGGTGAATTTCGGCTCCTGGTTCATTTTCGCCTTCCCTCTTATGCTGTTGTTCCTGTTGGCAGGCTGGCTCTGGATCTCCTTCCTGTACGGGGGACTGAGCTTCAGGTACCTCTCATTTTTTTCTTGGCAGGTAGAGTGGGGAAGCAGGGAGTGGCCTTTCTAACCTCAGCATCTGCCTATGAAAACTGAGGATGATTGTTATTTCATGTCGTATTCTCATTTCTTTCTTTTATGTATGTATGTATGTATTTAGTTTTACACACAGGGTCTTGCTCTGACGCCCAGGCTGGGGTGCAGTGGCACAATCATAGCTCATTGCAGCCTCAGTCTCCCAGGTTCAAGTGTTCCTCTGGCCTCAGACTCCCAAGTAGCTGGGACTACAGGCAAGTACTACTGTGCCTGGATAATTTTTTTTTTTTTTTTAATCTTTTGTAGAGACAGGGTCTCACTATATTGCCCAGGCTGGTCTCAAACTTCTGGCCTGAAGCGATCCTTCCTGTCTTGGCCTCTCAAAGCTCTGGGATAATAGGTGTGAGCCACCATGCTAGCCATATTCTCATTTCTTGACCTCCCAGGGATGTGAGGATTAAGTGAGAGGTGTGACCTGCCTGCCACACCCAGACCCTTTGTTGATGTCACATATTATTACTAATTATTAATAGTATTGTCTTTAAGGTAAACACTCTTGACCAGAGAAGAGGGGAGTACACTATTTCCCATTTTATGGGGCCCTGATACAGAAGATAATCTGGGGAGGCATGAGGACAAAATATTAAATAACACCAAATCATATTATGGGAAATATGTCTTTATCAACTCTCATCACTCAGTCTACTTATGTTTAGGAGAAAGTCTCAGTTGGGTGCTAAAGAAACCATAATATCTAACATTTCCAAATCAACCTCTAAAGAAAGAAAGAGCAAGCTTCGGACCCAGAGACTTGAGCCAGAAATGATGTCTAGCCAAAATATAATACTGGCACTTTGTTTTCCTATATTTATTTTGGTTACTTCAATTACTTTTTAATATGGCTACGTTAATATGGCTACGTTAATTTGGTTCTCAAAAATCAAATCACGTACATATGGTTCTCAAAAATCAAAACAACACTGAGAGGTATGCAGTGAGAACCTCTCTTCCCAACCATGGGCCTCTTCACCCACGATATCCTCCCAAACAAGCATCCACTTTTATTGGTTTCTTGTGTAATCTTTCAGAGTTTTCTTAAGCAAATATGAGCAGACATAGATATCTTTTTCTGGTAACAGGCCTCCCTAACAGATTTTGGTTTTTTATTTTATTTATTTACTTATTTATTTATTTAGACAAAGTCTCATTCTGTCACCCAGGCTGGAGTGCAGTGGCACCATCTCGGAGTGCAACCTCCACCTCCCAGGTTCAGGCCATTCTCCTGCCTCAGCCTCCAGAGTAGCTGGGACTACAGGCTCTTGCCACTTTGCCTGGCTAATTTTTTGTGCTTTTTTTTTTTTTTTGGTAGAGATAGGGGTTTATTCTGTTGGCCAGGCTGGTCTCAAACGCCTGACCTCAAGTGATCCACCCACCTCGGCCCCCCAAAGAGCTGGGATTACAGGCGTGAGCCACCTATGCCCAGCTGTTTTTTTATTTTTATTTTATTTTTTCTCTTTTACCTTGCAACTCTAGCTCAAAGGAAACAAGCATTTTTATAAGATACATTTCCAGAAGTGGGATTTCTGGATCAGAGAATAAACACATTTTTATTTTAATAGATATTGTCAAATCATTCTTCATAAAAATTTTACATGTTTCCTCTCCCATGCACAATGTATGAGAGTGTCTGCTTCCTTGCAGCAAAGTGGATTTTTGCCAATCTGATAAGAGAAAAATAACTTGTGTTTATTTTATGAAGAGTAACTTTAGGAAACTTTTCATAGGTTTGGAAGCATATGAAAAGTTTGTTCATCGGTATTTTCTTTCCTGTGAATTGTGAAACCGTGTGTTCATATTCTTATACATTTTTTCAAATGGGTTGTTGGTCCTGTTCTTACTAGTTTCTGGTACGCTTTATATTTTGGAAAGATGAGTGCTTATTCTGCAATAGAAGCTACATTTTTTTCCTGATTTGTCTTTTGGCTTTGTTTATGATGCTTTTCTCTCTAAAGAATTGTTTTAATTTTTTTTTCAATCTTTTCTCACATAGTTTCTGAAATTTCAATTACAGCTTAGAAAGGTTTTCCTAATACAGGACTTATAAAAGAATAATCACGTTTTCTTCTAGTATTATATTTTTCACATTTAAACTTCTGATCTATTTGGAGTTCATCCTTATGGTACAGTGTGAAGTTTGGATTCAACTTCATTTTTTTTTTTTTGTCCCAAATGGTCACCCAGTGTCCTAACACCATTTATGGACACACAACATTTTACTATTTTGATGAAGTCAAATTTATCTGTCTTTGGTGGCTTGTGCTTTGACGTCATATTGAAGAAACTGTTGCCTATTCCAAGGACATGGAAATTTACCCCTGCCTTTTCTTCTGAGAGTTTTATGGCTTTAGCTCTAACATTTAGGCCTTCAATCCATTTTGGGTTTAATTTTGTATATGGTGTGAGGTAGGGGTCCCGATTCATTCTTTTCCACTTGGCTATCCAGTTTTCCTAGCACCATTTGTTGAAAGGCTATTCCTTCCCCCACTATTCAGTCTTGGTACCCCTGTCAAAAATCAATTGGCTATAGGTGGATAGGTTTATTTCTTGGCTCTCAATTCTGTTCCATTGATCTATATGTCTGATGCCATTTACTGAATAGTCCATCTTTTCCACACCAATCTGAGATAGCAACTTTATAATAGACTAAATTCCCATTTGTGACTAAGTCTGTGTCTAGACTTTCTGCTTTGTTCCATTGATTCCTCTGTTTATTCATGTGCCTGTTTGACCCACTCATGGATTTTAAGCCTGGGAGTCATATGATCAGATTCACATTTTTAAAGATCAACCAGGCTGTACGTGGGGAGAACAACTGTAGCAAAGGAGGACAGTTGCAGGGAGACCAGCCATCAGGCAGTTGCAGCCTCCCGAACAGAGAGGATGTGACTTGGTCAGGTGGTGGTGGTGGTTGTAGGTGAGAAGTTAGTTACACCTGCAGTGGACATTCCTAACCTCCCACTTTCTGTTTCAGGGGCTGGAGGAAGAATAAATCTGAGATAAGAACCACTGCAGAAAACAGGGCTCGAGCTGTAATTCGGGAAGAATACCAGAACCTGGGGCCCATCAGGTATATGGGGGTCCTTGGGTTGAGGAAAGAGCTGAGTCTTAAATGCTCAGGAAAGATTCCTCCTGGCCTGGCCTTGGGCCCATGGGAGCTGAGCTCCAGGGGAATTCCAGGACCCATGGCCTGGGAGCCTGGAGGTGGAGGATGGGAGGTGGTTTACACAGTCAACCTCTTGCCCTGGTGCTGGAGTAAAAACCTGAGGACCAAAAAGCCCCTCAGAATGTACTTACAGTGGGATCTGCTATCTTCCACCCAAGGTACCATTTCCCTCCCGGTACACAGAATACCTGACACTATCTCAGGTGGCTTCCAGGACCTTGTTTAATGCACATTTCCATATGGTGAAAATAATGGGTTCAGTAGGCCTGTGTTCAAGGACCAGTGGTGCCACTCATGTCCTGTGTGGCTTTGGGCATGGCACTAACCCTCTCTGGGCCCTGCTCTCCAGTCTTTGAAATGGGCACATTGGGTAACTAGCTCCTCCAACTCTTGGGAATCCTCTCTTTCCACCTCCATCCACCCCCTCTCCAGGTCTGTCCCCTCTCTGTGTCTTCTCCTCTCAGTGTAGACAGACTGTGTGTTTTTATGTCTCTCTCTCTCTCTCTCTCTCTCTCTCTCTCTCTGTATGAATGCTCCTCTTTCTCTTTGCCTACTGCATTTCTGTCTGTTTTTCTTTCTGCTTTTTGGATTCTCTCTCTGTTTCTCAGTTTCTTGATTTTCTGTAGGACCCTGAGAAACTCCTAGTGATAATGAAGCACGTGGTTTCGGGGAGGGGGTGACTTGAGGCTCAGGAAGGATCCTGAGGGAGCGTGGAAGTCCTAGGACAGGAATCATTTACAGTCCATTGGTGCCCCTCCCCTTGTTCTGGGCACTCCCTGGGGAGTGGATGACTTCAGCTTTCTCAGAGGCAGATTCCGGGCCCAGTCACTCCCAGTGGGCAGCTGCCTGAGCCTGTGCCTGCTGCAGTCTGCCTGAAACCCAGGGTCACCATCATGCCTGCATGTCTGTGCCACAGGTTTGCCGAACAGGCCGTTTTCGTCCTTTTCTGCATGTTTGCCATCCTCCTCTTCTCCCGGGACCCGAAGTTCATCCCTGGCTGGGCCAGCCTCTTCACTCCTGGGTGAGACTCTGGGGACCCACAGGGAGGAGTCCAACAGGGAGGATTCTGGGCTGGGCCACCTGGAGCTGGAGAGGCAGCATTGTAGCTGGGGAGACCCACATCCAAGTTGCCATCTCTTGTCCCATGTGATTATAAATAGCTCCCTCTTTCACTCTCAAAAGAGTTTAGGTTTGGGTGATAAAATATGACTTCTCATGTGTTGGGAGCTCTGGATTTGGAGTCAGACTAAAGTGGGTTAGAGTTCTAGCTCTGCCACTTATGAGCTGCGTGACTGAGCAAATCGTTCATTCGTTCAATCAACACTGATTGAGAACCTATTATGTGCTAAGCTGCATGCTGGGTGCTGGGACACAGACAAAAGCAAGTGGTTAGACAACAAAATAACTGCATTGCAATGAGTGCTGTGAAGGAAGGAATGAGAGGGTTATGCTATAAAATAATAGAGCAGGGGCATTGACTTTGGACAGTTCTGGGAAGAGCCAAATCTTAGGAAGATTGCAGGTGAAAGCAGTGGAGATGCACTGGGAATGTCTACTGAATCCTGAGTCAGAACAAATGTAGCATGTTTGAGAAACTGAGAAAAGCCCAGTGGGACCGAGGCCTGGTGGGAAGGAAGGAAAGTGGGTGAGGAAGGGTAGGGGAGGGCCAGATTAGAGTGTCTTTTCGGGCATGTTATGCATTTTGATTTTTTTTTTTTTTTTCTGTGAGCAGTGGGCAGCCATTGGAGGGTTGTAAGCTACTCAACCGCTCTGTGCCTCAGTTTCCTAATCTGTAAAATGATATTATAATAGTACATTTCTCATTGGCTTGTTGTAAAGATAAATGAGTTAATATATGTCAAGTGATTAAAATGGCTCATAGAAAGAACTCAATAACTTAGCTATATTCATTAGGAAATGGGTAGTGGGGGCAAAAATATAGATGAGGAGAATAGTTAGGAGTTATAACATCATCTAGATGGCCCCTGTCTTTTTGGGCCAAATCTGGCCCACCACTTGATTTTGAATGACTTTTACATTTTTTAAATGGCTGTGGAAAAATCAAAAGGCAATGTCTTGTAATGCACGAAAATTATATGAAATTCAAATTTCAGTGTCTGCAAATAAAGTTTTATTGACACACAGCCACACCTATTCAATTATATATTGTCTATGGCTGCTTTCACACTCCAATGTCAAATGTGAGTCCAGACAAACACCATGTGGCCTGCAAAGCCAAAATACTTACTGTGTGGCTTTTTACAGGAGACATTTGCTGACCCCTGGTCTGGGGGATGGCTTCAGTGAGGGTGGTAGCAATGACGATGTAGCAGTCAAGATATCATTCAAAGTTAAATGTGGGACTTGCGCTGGGTTGGTTTGGGGGGTGTGAATGAAAGGAGTGCCTGCATGAATGGTGGTTAGTTGGAGAAGAGTATTTTTTAGTGGGCTGGGAATGGCTTATTCATAATTCTATTTTGGACTTGGTTTAGACTTTTCAAGCTCAATAGCCAGTTGGATATGCAAGATTGGAGCTTAGAAGAGATGTTTAGATTGCATCCATAAATCTGGGAGTTGCTGTATAAATTTGGGAGTTAAATCCATAGGAATCAATGGGCTCAGCTATGGAAAGTGTTTAAGGAGAGTATAGGAGACCATGAGGAACCCCAGCACTTGGGAGCTGGGGAGAGGAAAGTGAGTTTACTAGAGAAACAGAAAGATGGTAAGTGAGGTAGAAGGAAAACTTAGAGCTATGGACCAGCAAAAGCCAAGAGAGGGGAGTGTTTTAAGAAGTGTGAGTGGGCACCGTGTCAAATTCTGGTGTGGGTGGGAACGTGATTAAATAGAGATGAATCTGCTGGATTTGGTGAAATCTGATTATTTCGATTAGCCCCATCCAAGAGAGATATAATGTGAGCCACATATCTATTTTAAGTTTTTTGGTAGCTACATTAAAAAGGTGAAAAACAGATGAAACTAATATGAATAATATATTTTATGTATAAATTATTAGTGAGATATTTGGCATTCTTTTTTTCATGTGAAATCATCAAAATCTTGTGTGTATTTTACATTTAAAGCGCATGTCAGTTTGGTCTTGCCACATTTCAAATGCCCACTAGTCCACATGTGGCTTGTGGCTACCATACTGGACAGTGCACAATCCAGATATCTCACCCTCTGGGCCTCATCCTCTTCCCTGGTAAAATGGGTGACATAAATTCTGATCTCCTGAAGGTTGTTATAAGCAAGAAACAATATAATTTCATAAAGCCATGAAGCTGTCATTGCTCTTACCATTTTTTTTATTTTTCCAAAATGTAGATGCTTTATTTTTTTCAGATGCAAAATGAGCATTATAAGCATTTCAACAATACAGAAAATGTGAAAATCAGCCGAATCTCAGTCTCTAATTCTGATATACATCTTTCCTGACTTTTAAAAAATGCCTATCTGAGAACTGTTCTACATTGTGATCGCGCTGTTATCAGACTGTATACATTTGTGAAGACTTGTTAAACTATACCCTCAAAATGGGTGCTTTTTACTGCATGTTAATTACACCTCAATGAAACATGTGCCAATTGGCGTTTAGAACTCTATTAAAAAGAAGATTTTTTTTTAACAGAAACGTGATCATGTCGACATATTATTTGTAATCTGCTTTTTAATTTTGTATAGAATTTCAAAAGTTATGCATATTCATAAAAATTCAAACAATGCTGAATTGTAAAAGAATAAGTTAATGGCTCTTTATCCACTTTATGTCCCACTGCCCAGAGATGATCGCAATGAGCAGTTTGGTGTGTGACATTCCAGATATGCACACATATCTTCATACATACACACATACAAATATGTATACATATAACAAAAGACTGTAAAATATAATAATATGATCATGGACAACTTGCCATTTTGAACTTACTTCATTCTTTTTTTAAAATTTTATTTTCTTGGACTCAGGTCACAACTTCATTCTTTTAAAACACCACATAGTACTCTACAGAATGGGAGCACTTTGATTTATTTAACCAATTCCTTATTAGATTGTGTTCAATGCTTCAAATACAAACTTTTAAAATAAAATTTACAGGATATCTTGGTTGTATTTCTATGTCAATACATAGAGATTGACATTATCTTTTATCTTTTTTTAAACAGATGCAATGTACTTCATAATATGAATGGAACACAATTTATTTAAATGTGTCTCTCAAAAATCTTCCAATTTTTTTTACTCTTATCAATAATGAACATCCTTGCACATAATCTGTGTACAAAAGTACGGCTGTTTCTCAAGGTTAAATACCTAGAAGTAGGATAACTGGATCAAAGGGTATTTACATGTAAAATTGGAAACATGTTGCCAAATGCCCCAGGAGGTTAAACTGGTTTATTCTTTCACTAAGGGCGTATGTTCTCAATATCCTCACCAGTTTTACTCCCCTTTTCAAGTCTTGCCTGTTGGCAGATGAATGGTATACCATTAGTGTTTTGATCTGCATTTCTCTGATTATAAATATTGACCATCTCTTCCAACTTCTTGTCTGTTTGAATACTCTCCTTTCCAAATGTGTGAGTGGAAAGAGCTCTGGTTAGCAATGAGCTCTAGGCTTTGTTGAACTTGGAACCAGAACAATCTGAGTTTAAGGCCAGGGTCTACAGAATGGGAACACTTCGATGTATTTAACCAATTCCTTATTGAATTGTGTCCATTGCTGAAAATAAAAACTTTAAAAATAAAATTTACAGGGTATCTTGGTTGTATTTGTATGTCAATTTAACAAAATGACTTGCTTAGGGTCTGGCCTTGAACAGGTTGTTTCTGCTCTTTGACCCTCTGATTCTCCATCTGAAATGGAAAGTGCCTGCCCCAAGGGTTTCATGTCTCCCCTAAAGGACACATTGTGGATGTTTGAAAGGTGACAGTTAGGTTTTGAGGGGCCATGAGGCTGGGTCAGTCTGGGTTCCACTGGTGTGAGTGGGCTGTATCTCAATGTGGTCAGTTGCCCATCCCAGGAGGGATTCAAGCACAAGCTGAACAAAGGCAGGGTTCTTACAGGAGTCCCGGTGAGGGTGATTTATGGGGGTTCCAAGGATTCCAATATTCTGCGGCCCTCAGATTCTCCCCTCTTCCTAGGGTCCTTGAGTTGGGAGGATAAGCATTTGCTTGGGCACAAGCAGCATCTAAATGCCCCCGGGGAGCTGTGAATGAAGAGCTTTGCACCATGCTTAGTGCATTGCAGGACAGAATCCAGTGGCCCAGCCTCCAACAATGGCCCCTTCACAGCAGGCCTAATTCCCTTCCACAAATCCTCCGTTACAAATCTGCCAAACCTCGGCCCACTGAGATGCCCAGGGTCACATGCTTTGGGGCCTTCTCATTGTAGGTTTCTTTCTGATGCCGTCACCGGCGTGGCTATTGTCACCATCTTGTTCTTCTTCCCGTCCCAAAGGCCCTCTCTCAAGTGGTGGTTTGACTTCAAAGGTAAGGTGGTCAAGGCTGGGGTCTTGGTGGGCTCAGTGAGGACTGCGACGTGGAGTGTGGTCATCAAGGGCCTGGAGCCCCCCACTGCACTAACCACGTGGTCCTTCCTGCTTCTCCTTTCACTGTCTGAACCGTTGCCTTGTCTGGGGACAGGGGTTAGCAACTACAGTCTTCAGACCAAATCCAGGCAGCTGTCTGTTTTTGAACAGACTGTGAGCTAAGCACAGTTTTCAGATTTTTAACTGGTTGAAAAAAAAAATCAAAAGAAAAACATTTCAGGACATGTGAAAGTTACATGAAATCTAAATTTCAGTGTCCACGTATCAAATTTTGCTTTCCCCTAAGGAACCTGTGGAAATTTATTTTCTTTAGTTATATTAGTACCTACACAATAGCCTCAATTTTGCCTCTTGGCCCATGAAGCAAAAAATGTTTCGTTTTCTTGCCCTTTGCAGAAAAATGACCCCTTGGCCCAAAGCAGGAGTTGCACCTTGGCTGCCCAAGGAGCCACGCATGGAAAACACAAGCTGGGTTTCAACTGTAGAGGAAGTGTTGGGGACTGAGGAGAAACTGCCTGAAGGCATTCCGATTCAATTTTTAAAAAAATCGCTGAGTACCTCTAAACAAAATGCCGTAGACTGTGGCCTTCAGATTGCCAGCTTGCGACTTCCTCTGGTGTCCAGCAGATGTCTGCCAGAAGGTGACGCCAACACCTGAGGCTGCCACCTGGGGCAGTTGGCTGAGCTCCTCCGGAGTCAGGAAATAGGCACCATAATCAAACTATTTTCTATTGTTGAGAAAAATAGTGTCACTCAGGATAGCCCTAGCCATGGAAGAGTCGGGGTTTGAGTGTGGGGAGTATGGTGTATGTGTCCTGTAGGAAGATGAGGATTTTACAGGCTCCATAAACAGTTCTTTCTTTCTTCTTTTTTTTTTAATGGGATCTCACTCTGTCACCCAGGCTGGGGTGCAGTAGCGCCATCACAGCTCAGTGCAGTCTCGAACTCTTGGGCTCCAGTGAACCTCCCACCTCAAACTCCCAAGAAGCTGGGATTATAGGTGTGAGCCACCTCGTTTGGCTAATTAAAAGAAAAAAAAAATTGTAGCAGTTGGGCATGGTAGCTCACACCTGTAATCCCAGCACTTTAGGAGAGTGAGGCGGGTGGATTGCTTGAGTCCAAGAGTTTGAGACTAGCCTGGGCAACATGGAGAAACCCCATCTTTACAAATAATACAAAAAAAAAAAAAATAGCTGGGCATGGTGAGGCACACCTGTAGTCCCAGCTACTTGGAAGGCTGAGGTGGGTGAATCGATTGAGCCTGGCAGGTCAAGGCTGCAGTGAGCTCTGATGGCACCCACTGCACTCTAGCCTGGGTGACAGAGTGAAACCCTGTCTCAAAAAAAAATTTTTTTTTGTAGTAACGGGGGTCTCACTACATTACCCAGGCTGGCCTTGAACTCCTGGCCTCAAGTGACCCTCCCATCTGTGCCTCCTGAAATGTTGGGACAACAGGCATGAGCCACCATGTGTGACCCATAGACAGTTCCTATAGCATAGCTGGACCTCAGGGAGGCTGGAACTGGGTCTAAGGAGGCTTAGCTGTGGGCCTGCGTACTCTGCAGTTGAACAGGGTTCAGCTTTTCTCCATTTCTACTTCTCTTCCAGTCAGTCTTCCAACTGGCTGTTCTCATCATTCCCTCTGTATATAATTTCTTAACCTTTTCCTAGTTTCTGCTGCTTATTAGGTTTTGTACCTTTATAGTTTCTGCTTCATTGTAGTCTCTACTTTTGTTCCCTTATAGTGTCTGATCCCCATGGCTTCTGCTAACTCCACTTCCTCATGTTTTCTATTCCCTGTGGCATCACCTCTCACACTTTCTGCCCCTTCCTGGCTTCTTCCACCTGATGGCGGCCACTTCCTCATGGTGTCCAACTGCTCCCTTGAGCCTCTGCTTCCCCTGAGCCTCTGTGTCCTCACAGTATCTGTTTCCTCCTGTCTTCTGCTTCCTCACCCAACTTCAGCCCAATCATGCCCCCTGTGTGTCATGCGGCCTCTCTGTTCATTCTTTCACCTTCAGGTGTCACTTCTCTTCACCCAGTGGGTCTCTGTTTCCCATTGATGCATCTGTAAGATGTAAGAGTCGGGTTGGTTCAGCTTGTTGTTCTTTGGGCAGATTTCCTCCCACAAGGCTACTTCACAGCCTCATAGATCCCTGGCCAGCCTATGGATCAGCTGCCCTTGGTCAGGTGCCCATCCATGGTTCTGGCACCTGGGGGTGAACTCACAATGCCCAGGGCTTTCTCTCAGCTGGGGCCATGGGGAAGGCGCTATTGTTACAGGGCAGGGAGCCCCCAAATTGGGGCTTAGTCTGGGAGGGTTCTTGGCTTCTTCATCCAGGAAGGAATTCCAGGGCAAGCCAGTGGTGTTAGACAGCAACTTTTATTGAAGCGGCAGTACACAGCAGCAGCAGAGGTTCTGCTCCTTGTGGAGTGGGGCTACCCCATAGGCAGTGTGCCCAGAGTAGTAGCTCAGAGGCAGTGCTGCAGTCATATTTATATGCACTTTTAATTATGTGCAAATTAAGGGGTAGTTTATGCAGAAATTTCTAGGATAAGGGTGTTAACTTTTAGGTTGTTGAGTCATTGCCATGAAAAGGGAGGGTAACTTCCGGGTGTTGCCATGGCAATGGTAAACTGACATGGTATACTGGTGGGCATGTCTTATGGAAAGCTGCTTCCACCCAGGACCTGTTTTAGCTGGTCCTCAATTTGGTCTGGTGCCCAAGCCCCACCCCTGGAGTGAGTCCCGCCTCCTACTTTACTATGACACAGCTGACTGGCATCCCAGCTCTGCTACTACTTTTCTGGGTGACCTCAGGGAGGCTCCTATATTCTCCGAGCCTTGCTTTCTCACTTCGAAAATGAGGGAGTCCCTTAGATACCTTCCACCTCTGGCTTTTACTGGCTTTATAGATCAGGGGTTGCAAACTCAACTGCCTACAGGGAGGTAACACTTATTTTATATATAAGATATATATTCATATGTTTTATAAATAATCTATAAAACATATATTATATAATATATAATATAGATTATATGTAATATATATATATATTTTTGACCTATGTTTGTCTCCAGATGGAAGGTAACATTTATATGCAGCAGACTGAGTTCAGGAAAATATGTCTCAAGAAACATATGGCCCTCCTTGTCTATCTTTCCTTTCCCATTTTTGAAACAGAGAACAGTTTCCTTATTATGTAAAGGGAGACAACAGCTGAGGTCAGTAAGAAGTGGTGAGAGGCTGGGCGTGGTGGCTCACACCTGTAATCCCAGCACTCTGAGAGGCTGAGGTGGGTGGATCACCTGAGGTCACGAGTTTGAGAGCAGCCTGGCCAACATAGCGAAACCCTGTCTCTAATAAAAAATACAAAAATTATCTGGGTGGGTGGCACATGCCTGTAACCCCAGCTACTTGGGAGACTGAGGCAGGAGAATTGCTTGAACCTGGGAGGTGGAGGTTGCAGTGAGCCAAGATCATGCCACTGCACTCCAGCCTGGGTGAAAGAATAAGTCTGTCTCAAAAAAAAAGAAGTAGTGACAGCCTCAGTCTCGTGGCAAGGCAGGGTCTGTGAAAAACTGGTGAGCCAATCCCCACTTAAATTAAAGGGGGCAGATATTACTTAGTTTCCACTGATTGTACCCATGCAGGAAAACGGAACTAGTTTAGTCAGATTTGCTGATTTTTCAAAAGAAGCCAAAAATCTAGATTTTTATGTGGAATCTCCCTGGTTTTAAATATTGGCAACTCATTCAAGTTGAAAAACAAATACTATGTGGGCCAACCACAGTAGCACTAAAACACGTGTGTTGAGTCTGGTCCATGGAATGCCAATGTGTGCCCTTAGCCCAGGGGTCTTTGAACTGGAGTTTCCAGCATTGCCCAGAGGGTGGGGAGGGAACTCCATGAGTACTGCCTGTCCTTTGGCCACCAGTGACCCTGTGCAGACTTGGCTGATGTGATACTTTCTGGTATTTAACACTAAAGACTTTTGTGGAGTCTTATATTGTGGTCAGTAAGTTTCCAAAGAGAATAAGTGACTTGTTCAAGGTCACACTGCTCATTAAAAAGAGTCAGGGCCAGGTGTGGTGGCTCACACCTATAGTCCCAGTACTGTGGGAGGCTGAGGTGGGAGGATTGCTTGAGGTCAGGAGTTCAAGAAGAGCCTGGGCCACATAACAAGAGCCTGACTACAAAAAATTAAGAAATTAGCCTATGTAGTGGCACACACCTGTAGTTCCAGTCACTTGGGAGGCTGAGGCAGGAAGATTGCTTGAGAAGTTCAAGGTTGCAGTGAGCTGTGATGGCACCACTGCACTCCAGCCTGGGCAACAGAGTGAGACCCTGCCTCAAGAAAAAAAAAAAAAAGGGGGGGGGGGGGAGAGAGACAAAGAGAAAGAGAGAGATAGGACCTAGAACCAGACATTCAAGCCAGCCTTGATTTTCTTCTTATACTCACCCCACTATTCTTTTATGGGTCTGAGTTGCACTTGCGTTTCTCACCCTTTGTGGTCATTCAAGTATTGATCAAGTGCCTACTATGTGCTAGGCACTGTGCTTGTGGTGGAAAAGTAGTTGATGATGATGGTGATGATGATGATGACGACAACTTCTCTTTCCTTTTTGTCAACTAGCTGTTCCTCTAGAGATCTTCATGACTCACTCCATCACTTCATTCAGGGCTCTGTTCAAATGCCACCTCCTGAGAAACCTTCCCTGACTGCACCATCTAGAAAATCTCCCTCCTGTGTTACTCTTTATTCGTTTACCTTATTTTATTTTTCTTCATAGCACATGAAATTTCTTGGCATTATTTATTTATTTTTTAAGACAGGGTCTTGTTCTGTTGCCCAGGCTGGAGTACACCCACACAGTCTCAGCTCACTGCAACCTCTGCCTCCCGGGTTCCAGCGATTCTCATGCCTCAATCTTCCAAGTAGCTGGGATCATTGGTACCCACCACCATGCCCAACTAATTTTTGTATTTTTAGTAGAGATGGGGTTTCACCATGTTGGCCAGGCTGGTCTTGAACTCCTGACCTCAGGTGATCCACCCACCTCATCCTCCCAAAGTGCTGGAATTACAGGCATGAGCCACCATGCCCGGCCAGTATATTTATTTATCACCTGACTTCCCCCCTGGAATATAAGTTCTCCAAGGAGACGAATTTTCTCTGTTTTGGCCATTTCTGTATCCTGAGAGCCCAGAAGAGTGTTTGACACATGGCAGGTACTCAATATATATTTGCTAAATAAATAGTCAAGGACTTGCTCTGGGCAAGGCCCTGGGATGAGTCCTTTGCACAGAGGGACCATTTCATCTTTCCAGTAAGTCTCTGAGGGAAGTGCTGTTACCTCATTTTGCAGAAGAGGAAATCGAGGCTCAGAAAGGTAGTGACACTGGCTCAAATCACACAGTTGGGGCACAGCAGAGCCAGGATTCAAGTCTAGTTTAAAGCTTGTGCCTTTAGCTACTGCTATAGACAGCCAGCGAATATCAGGTTGAGCTGCAGTGGGAAATCCACATAGTCAGAGATTGTGCTTATGAGAAATAGCAGCAGAGGCATGGTTGGATGGGAAAACAATAAAAACCATGGTAGCTAACATTAACTGAGTGCTTGGCATGTGACAGACAGTCTGATATGCACTCGCCATTTAATCTGCATTACATGGGACCCTGCTCAAGGCCTTCTTCCTTCCTCTGTCCCATCCACCCTTACCTGCTGTGTGGGGTGAGTCACTTCACTTTTTCAGACCTTTTGTACTTCTTTAATGAAATATTTTATCACCTGAAGGCAGAGGGCTGGGCCACCTGCCATGTCTGGTTGCCTTGTCCAGTTCTGGGCTTAAGTGTATGTTGCATTTGGCCCAAGAATCCCCTCAAGGTATATGACACCTGCACCGCATGTAGATACCATGGGCTGTATGCACCTGTGGGCTGCATACACCTGTGGGCGCCTACACCTGTGGGCTGCATACACCTGTGGGCTGCATACATCTGTGGCCACATACACCTGTGGCCACATACACCTGTGGGCTGCATGCACCTGTGGGGAGAGCACACTGTGGCCACACACCCAGGCCACATACCAGGCTGCATGCACCTAGGGGTGCATACACCTGTAAGTCAGGAGATGAGTTGAACGGGGTGGGGCCGCATACAATCTGTGGCTGCACATCCGTGACTGTGTATAACACCCGTACCCGCACACCATGTGTATGCATGTACACCAAAGGTATAGCACTGGGGATTCATACACCTGTACACATACACCTATGGGCGGTATACACTGTATATGACACCTGTGGCATTTACATAACTCGGGACAGATTCGTGGGCTTGACACACCTGAAAATGCAATTTTAACCTTAACTTATACATTTAGAAAGCTTATATATATTTGTCGGCTTTACAGAGACCTGTGACTCCATGGCCACCTGTGACTGCATATACACTCGTGGCTCATACACCTAGGCTTGATACACCTGTGGACTGCAGTACACTCAGGTTTCATACACCTGTGGCCACATTGTTGACCTGGCTGCATGCACCTGTGGGCTAGCACATCAGGGCTGCATACACGTGACCTGCAGACAGCCTGGGGCTTACATACACCTGTGGATTCACAGCACCTGTAGCCACATACACCTGGGGCTGCATGCACCTGTGGGGCTACACACACCTGTGGGCTTCATACACCTATGGGCTGCATACATTCAGGCACATACACTGTGGGCTGCATGCACCCGTGACTACATACACCTTTGGGTTTCATACACTCATGGTTTCATAGACCTGTAGACTCCATACACCTGGGGGACTTGCATACACCTGTGGGCTTCGTATACACCTGTGGGCTTCATACACCTGTGGATTGCAGAGACACTCTTGTGGGGTTTATACACCTGTGGACTGCATGCACTGTGGGGCTTCTATACACCTTGGGGGCCGCCACATACACTGTGGGCTGCATGCACCAGCTGCAGGGCACACCTGTGGGCTTCTGTATACACCTGTGACTGCACATCTGTGGGTGCACAGCACCTGTGGCCACACAGTACTCAGGCTGCATGCACCCGGGACTGCACATGACCTTTGGGTTTCATACACCTGTGGGTTTCATAGACCTGTGGACTCCATACACCTGTGGGCTGCATACACCTGTGGACTGCATACACCTGTGGACTGCATACACCTGTGGGCGGCATGCACCTGTGGGCGGCATACACCTGTGGGCGGCATACACCTGTGGACTGCATGCTTGCTGGTAGAGGGATTTTATTAAGTAGCTTTTATTATCTTTATTTCCTGACTATAAAATCTTGTTTTAGGTAAACCACTGTGTAACATTTGGAAAAAGCTCAAAAGGAGAAGCAAAATATCCGTAACTGCTTGACCAGGAACTGTCCTGGAAGATGGCAAACTGCCTTAAAGGAGTCAGACCCATCCTCCCTGCTTCCCTGGTCATAGTCTGCCAAGAAAAGTCCTATTTCAGGAGTGATTACCCCGCACCAGGCATGGGTCTAAGTGTGTCATATACATTATTTGACAAATATTTACAGAGTAACCATCAGGTGTCAGGCACTGTTCTAGACTCTGGGGATGCAACTATCAGCTAACTGGAAATGCCTCATCTCCCTGCAGATCCATCATTGTCCTGGTTGGTGTTCACAGGAACCCCCCTGGTTCTGTAATGTGCCATGTGCCGGCTGAGGAAATGGGGCTCAGGGAGGCAAAGTCACTTGTCAAGGGCACACAGTGAGCCAAGACTGAGGAGGGTCTGTCTCCAAGCCTATGCCCCCAACCCAGGGATGTCACACTACCAGCCACGTGCCAGGTCCAACCCACCACCTGCTTTTGTAGATAGAGTTTTATTTACAACCAGGCCCACATGTTTAGGTATGGTCTCTGGCTGTTTTCATGCCACAATGACGGAGTAGTGACAACAGAGCCTGTCTGTGTGGCCTGCAAAGCCTCAATGATTCACTCGCTAACCCCTTGCAGAAAGTCTGTTGACTCCCCCGCCCACTGACCTCACCACTGCAGCACTGCCACTCTCGAGGAAATAAAAATCATCCCATCATTTCAGGGCTCAAAAATACCCTTTGTTTCTATTTTTCTAAATGTCCTTCCTCTTTTTCTTTCCTCTCTGTGCATGTTCCAGTACAAAGAAAACCTTTTCTCTTATAAATGAGGGTAAAAATAGCTCTTGTGCCGAAGGGCTGTTGGGAGAGTTAAGTTATGTCCTGCATGTGGAGTTTTTTAAAACTCTCAAGCTGTGGGAATCATGAAAATTATTTTCACTGGGAATAGAGCAGCTCCCCTATCATGATGCCTGTGCACTCTCTCCCTGAAGCTCCAAGCCAGATGCTGGATCCACCACTTGGCTTCCTGGGGACCCCTGAGTGTCCCCAGTAAGATGGGGCTGCAGGGCTGGTGGCCTCTGCCTCAGGCTGAGCGGCCCTGAGTGTGTGCTGAATCCCTCTCTCTGCCCAGCTCCCAACACAGAGACAGAGCCCTTGCTGACCTGGAAGAAGGCCCAGGAGACAGTGCCCTGGAACATCATCCTTCTCCTGGGAGGGGGCTTCGCCATGGCCAAAGGCTGTGAGGTAAGACCCCCAGCCCCCCTAACCAGCAGGAACAGCGGGAGGCAGGTGTGGGCGGGTCCCAGTGCTGGCCGCAGCACCAGGATCAGAGCAGGTGAGCTGCACGCGCCCTGGGGGCACAGCCAGTTTCCTCACCTGCCAAACTGAGATGATCATAGTTCATTCCTCACAGGTCCACACTCAGGACCAGGTGCTACAGAGAAAGAAAGGAATGAGTTATGACCTGGATCCTTAAGGAACTCATGATGGACAAAATATTAATATAGTACTAATACTAATAATATTGAGACTCGAGGGCTCTGTGACTTAAGAGGGATAATAACATATTGTGCTCACCCAATGCCAGACACTGTTCAACATGCTTGCGGAGGTGGAAGGATGGCTTGAGGCCAGGAGTCCAAAATCAGCCTGGGCAGTATAGTGAGACCCTTTCTCTTTTTTTTTCTCTCTCTCTCTCTTTTTTTGGGATAGAGTTTCGCTCGGTCACCTAGGTTGGAGTGCAGTGGTGCCATCACAGCTCACTGCAGCCTCAACCTGCCGGGCTTAATCAATTCCCTCACTTCAGCCCCCCAAGTAGCTGGGACTACAGGGATGCCCCACCATACCCAGCTAATTTCCTTTTGTATTTTTTTGTAGAGATGGGATTTAAAAAAAAAAAAATTAGCTGGGTGTGGTGATCCCAGTGGAGTCATGATGATAATACTACACTCCAGCCTGGGTGACAGAGCAAGACCTCATCTTCCCCCACCCCCCCAAAAAAAAAAAAAAAAGAAAAAGAAAAAAACATGCTTTACACATTAACTCATTTAAACCTCCCAACAATGCTATAAGGTAGATACCATTATTATGCCCATTCTCTAGATAAGGAAGTTGAGACACGGGGAGATAAAGTACCTTTTCCCTAATGTCACACAGCTACGGAGTCAGGATTAGAATCCAGGCAGTTTGGCTCCGGAGTCTATGCTCTTAACCCCTCTCATATAAGTCCTAGATAGTAATATTAATTAGTTCATGGATGTTATTATTAATGTTATTAAAGAGGGCTTTGTGAGCTCAGAAGTCAGGGCTGGGACCAGGGTGGAGCAAATGAGGCACAGGGAGTGCAGAATTTCAGGGAGCGCCCACTCTCCGGGGTGTGCCAGTGCGGGTCAGCCAGCCCAGCTCAGAGGCAGTGCGACGTCAGCATCCAGCTTCTGTCTCCACGGATTATCTCACTGAATTGCCGCACCAGCCCTAAGAGCTGGGTAATGGTTTATGCCTCTTTTACAGATACGAAAACTGAGACATGAAAAATTAAGCAACTCTCTTAAATTCTTACAATTGCACTCTGCTTGGGAGCTGGGGTTCAAATTCTCCCTGATTTCAGAGTCCAGACTCCAAATTGTTCACTCCAGAATTTTGCACATGCCAGCCGTTGTTCGAAGTGCTTTGTGAATCAAATATGGCCCAGTTGATCTTTATAAACACCACTGAATCAGATGCTATCACTGTCTCCATTTTAAAAATGAGGAATCGGAGGCAAAAGGAGGCTAAATAGCTCGCCTACATTTGCACAGCCAGGAGATGGTGGAGCCAGGATCTGAAACCAAAGCTCGCGTGGCTGAGCTCCGTCCCACCCCTGAACGCCTCGTAAACCGAGGCATTCAAAACCACAGCCAGTTAAGAGTCAGTCTGCAATTAAGGATAAGGGAAGCTGAAATTACTTCTTTTATTGCCTTATCTTGTTAATTCAATTTCAATTTTCAGTTTCAAATGAAGTTACAATGTTGGACACCTGTTAACCGTGTACACTGGTCGGAAGCCCAGGCTTGGGAATCTCAGTATCTGGTCAATCTAGGCTCTACCACTCTGTGCTGGGACACTTTGGGCAGGTTTCTTAACCTCTCTGGGTTCCTATTTTTCTCGTCCATAGATTGAGGCTCAAAGCTGTTACTCTACAGGGTTGCTGGAAAATATTAAAGAATAACTGCCCGATACATATAGCTGATAAGAAGTGCTAAAAACTGCAGCACACCAGCTCATAAATCCTCATGCCATGGTTTCTACAGGTTGGGCTTTCAGGAAGTAGACGCCGGGATGGAGATTCACAAGCGTGGGCATCATTAGGTTGTGCCCTTGGGGTCACTGTGGTAGGGAGAGGAAGGAAGCAGGAGAGGGCAGAGGGAGAAATGCAGCTGGAGGCAGACCCAACCCCACGGGACCACTGGACCTGAGATGGCCCTCAGAAGCAGTCCAGGTAATCAGAGATAGCCAGGCCCTTTGTATGCCATCTCTCTGGGGACACAAGCTGCCCCAGGTGCAGGTATGGCCTCAAGTGAGGCTGCTTTTGGGGTCTGAGACAGCTGAGTGCACTCCCTTAGCGGGGACAACAAGACCTCCACTGACGGGGATCTGGGTGGCACATTCAGCCTCTCTACACAGGTGCCCATTTGAAAATAAAATATGTTTTACTTTGTTTATTAAAAAAAACACATAAATAACAGTACAGACTTCAAAGGGAACAAAGGAATAGATGAGCAAAAGCACTGTTATTTGTCTCCATTTTAGGAATCCTGAGACCCAGAGAGGTTAAGTAACTGGTTCTTGGTAACACAGCTCATTAGTAGCAGGGCTAAGATTTGAACTCCTATCTATCTGACTTATGCTATTGCCTCCTGCTGGGGGTGTCTTAGGGAAGGTTTTCTGAAGGAAGTGACATGTTATCCAGATCTTGAAGAAGTGTGCTGTATGATGGAACCAGACCATCTGAATCACAGATTTCCCACTTCTTAGGTGTGTGATCTTTGTCAAGTTACTAAATCTCTCTGGGCCTCAGTTTCCTCATCATAAAATTGGAATCACAATGGCACCCACCTGGTAAAGTTGTCATGATTATTAAGTGAGTCAATATATACAGAGAAATGAGAACACAGCCCAGCACAGTTGGTTATTATGGTTAGACACTGAGGAAAAGGAAAATCAAAATCAAGAATCATGTGGAGGTTCATGGCTTGAGCAACTTGGTGGAAATGGTGCCATTTACCTCGGTGATCTGAGCCCAGCCTGGACTAGAGGAAGGAGGCTGGATGAGATGACCCGGATCCAGAGGTTTCCCTAAGCTCCAGGAGTGGTGTGGGGAGCACTGGCTCTCAGTGGAGGCTGGGCTGCGGGATGCTGGGCATGCTAAGAGGCCACCCTGGCTCTGAGCCCAGCCCTGGGCAGCTGGCCGGAGTTTCTCTTCAACAGGGGCTTTGTGTAGTAGCTGTTCCTTTCCCCAGCCTCTGTCGTACCATCCCCTCCCCGGGCAGCCGCAGCCTGGCCCAGGAGCGACCAGAATGCTTATGGCACATCCTGGTTCCTGGCCCCTGCCCCATGCTCTCATCAGACCACAGCCTGGCAGCCTCCTGAGGATCCGAGGTCCCTGGATGCAGTCCAGGGTGAGCCTGGGTGTGCTGACTCCCAGCACTGGTTCTGAAGGGCAGGAAGCCTATCCTAGCGCTTACTCTGAGCCTCAGCAACTCGCTTAAGCCCACTTAGGGTCCTCACTGCAGTTTTCTCCTGCGTCAAAACCATATAGTCGTGACTCTGCATAGACTTAAACTCAAGTCCAAGGTTTCCCTTGGCCAGCACAGAAAGTTGTATGGGATAATGTAGGTCCCAACACTGGCACCTACCTCTCTTCCCTCCTAACACCCCTCCAGTCTCCTTGGCCCCTTCCTCAGCCACATCAGACTCACATGCACCCCACAGCCTTTGCGTCTTCCCTTTCCCTGTTGACTTTTCGTCCTGAGAGCTCTGAGTCCTCACTCTTCAGGTCTCAGCCCCTCAGAAATGCCCTCCCAAGCCCCTATGTCTAGAATAGCCTCCCACCCCAGTCACTCTTCCTCTCATGACCCTGCCTATTCCTGTATACCACATCCACCCCCGAAATGATCCTGTGGGCATGTTTATTGATTGTATCTCTTACTAGAATGGAAGCTCCATGAGGCAGGCAGAGATCGTGTCTGTTTTATCCACCACTGTTCTAGTCACCTAGAAGACACTGGGTGCATAATGGTGCTTAACACATCGTTGTTGCTATGACCTACAAGATGGGCTGCTTTGAGAATTGCTAACATAATGTATGGAAAGTACCCAGAAGAGTGGTGATATACCCCAGGTGCTCAAACTAGGAGCCACGCTCATCTTCACTATTATGATTACTGTTATTATTGCATTAACTCATTGATGAAAGATTGATCTTATTCTGTTGGCACAACAAACTTACAAATATATTGTGATGATAGAGGTAAGGAGAAAATGTGTATTCTCCCCATTTCTCATTTTCTGCCAGAAATCTGTCATCTTTATTATTGATACAGCTTCGCTGTGTCCCCACCCAAATCTCATCCTGAATTGTGTAGTTCCCATAATCCCACATGTCATGGGATCTGGTGGGAAGTAATTTAATCATGGGGGCAGTTACCCTCATGCTGTTCTTGTGACAATGAGTGAGTTCTCAAGAGATCTGATGATTTTTTTGTAAGGGGCTTTTCCCCCTTTTGCTTGGCACTTCTTGCTGCCGCCATTTGAAGAAGGATGTGTTTGCTTCCACTTCCACCATGATTGTAAGTTTCCTGAGGCCTCCCCAGCCATGCTGAATTGTGAGTCAATTGAGCCTCTTTCCTTTATAAATTACCCACACTTGGGTATGTCTTTATTAGTAGAGTGAGAGTGGACTAATACAATTATTATTACCCTCATTTTACTGGACAGACAAGCCTGATGGCATGACTAAGATCCAGATTCTGAATCTTACTAGGGCAGATCATATTATTTATTTGGGCAAATCACTGAGCTTTTTTGTGCTTCAGTTTCTTCAACCATAAAATGGAGATAATTATACAGATGGTTCCTGACTTCACAATGATTCGACATATGATTTTTCAACTTTGCAATGGTGAAAGAGTGGTATGCATTCAGTAGAAAAGGTACTTAGAATCTTGAATGTTGATCTTTTCCCAGGCTGTGATATGTGGTAGGATACTCTCTTGTAGATGCTGAACAATTATGAGGGTAAACAACAGATATTCTACAGTGTATAGCATTGCCAGATGATTTTGCCCCAATGTAGGCTAATGTCTGTGTTCTGAGCACATTTAAGGTAGGCTGGGCTAAGTTATGAACATTGAACTTATGCCATAACAAACCTCCTTATAAGATGCTCCTCTACTCTGTATCAAAGACACCAAGAAGAGAGGACCTGGTTGAAGTAAGAAAACAGGAGGAAGAGGGAAACACCTCTGCCAACTCAGTCTCCCCACCTCCCATCTTTGCAAGGTGGCCTTGGGTACTTCTGGTCATCTTCAAGGCCAATAAGGAACATAATTTGACAACCACTGCACTGGGCAATTTCTGAGTTCCACCACTTCAGGCATCTTGTGACTTCATGCTACTAGTTATGGCAGGAACTAACCAAGCACCCAGCCACCTTCCTAGGCCCTTTATAGATTCGCTCCTTTTCTCCCAACAATAACCCTCTGGGGCAGGCACTATCATTATCCCTGGTTTACAGATAAGGAAATTTTAGCACAGAGAGGTTAAGTGACTTGCCTAGGAAGTTAAGTGACAGCTAGAAAGGATTAAGCTGGGAAGCAAACTCAGACTGACTCCAGAGCCCCATCTCTTCACCTTCTGGCCATGCCACCTCTGACCTTGGCTGCTGCTGGTCCCTGGAGTCCCTGGGAACACTGTTGGGCTGTGTGTTTCCAAGGAAACAAAGCTTCCAATTCCTAAGAATATGGGGAAGAGGCCAGGGCATGGGGGCTCATGCCTATAATCCCAGCACTTTGGGAGGCCTAGGGAGGAGGATCGCTTAAGCCCAGAGGTTCAAAACCAGCCTGGGCAACATAATAAGACCCTGTCTCTATAAAAAAATCACTTTAAAAAATTTAGCCAAGCGTGGTGGTGTGTGCCTGTAGTCTCAGCTACTCAGGACACTGAGGTGGAGGCTTGCTTGAGCCCAGGAGATAGAGGCTGCAGTGAGCTATGATTGTGTCACTGCCCTCCAGCCTGGGTGACAATGTGAGGCTCTGTCTCAAAAAAATAAATAAAATAAAATGGGAAAGGGCAGGTGAAGTCCCCTCAGAGTCCCCAGTGGAACCCTACGCAACAGGGCTTTTCCTGTCTTAGGAAGCTGCCAGACCTCCCTCCAGTGCTGGACCTGCACCAAGGCCTGTGTGGCTGTGGGGACGCTGGCTGGAAGCCCGGTCACTCAGAGGCCTAGCTACGGGGCAGCTCCTGGCTTCTCACTTGCCCGAGTCATTAATATTCCCTCTCTCTAGCCCCTCTCCGTTTAATTGAGCACAGAGCTGTCAGGTCAGACTCTTTGCCAGAGCTGTGGCCTATAGGAAAAACCAGAGGTCCCATTTTCTCCCTGCAGTGCTCTTTGCAGCTAGGGGAGGGGCTGTGGCCTCCATGCTGCCACTTACCGTATTCCCCAGGCTAGCAGACAAACTGCAGATGTACCAGAAACACCTTAGTCTTACGAGGACTCTTCTGGGGAAAAATATTTTTAAGCATTTATTGTTCTTCCATTGAAGGTAACTTTTAAGTCAAATTGTAGGGGCAAGTGTACTATTTTATTTATGTAAAAACTATATGCCGTATTCTATTTTATTTTATTTTTTGAGATGGAGTCTCGCTCACTCTGTCACCCAGACTGGAGTGCAGAGGCATGATCTCAGCTCACTGCAACCTCTGCTTCCCTGGTTTAAGCGATGATCCTGCCTCAGCCTCCCGGGTAGCTAGGATTACAGGCGTGCACCACCGCGCCTGGCTAATTTTTGTATTTTTTTTAGTACAGATGGGGTTTCACCATGTTGGCCAGGCTGATCTCGCACTCCTGACCTCAAGCGACCTGCCCGCCTTAGCCTCTAAAAGTTCTGGGTTACAGGCATGAGCCACCATGCCCGGCCCTGTATGCTGTCTTCTAGAATTGATTATGAAATTTTTAAGTTCTGAGGAAGCAGAGACTTTTCTATTAAAAGTAAAAGTATATATATAAAGTGTCTTTGGTATACTGGGTTGATAAAAGGGCTATGGTAGCAATACATTGGATTCTGAATGTTAACGAACTAACCCAGCTCTGCCCTAGATCAGCTCCAAAACCTACAGCTTTGTTCTAGGTCTAAGCAAACGGTCGCTTTATTGTGATCTTACTGCATCACAGTTCCACCAGGGGGCAGCATTGAGCAGATTTTGACATCCTCTGCTTTGCCGCTTTGTGGTTATAATGATGTGTTGGGTCAGTTATTTAAGGATGCATTTGATGGTGAGAGGACAGAGGTGTGGAAGAGTATTATAGATGTTATATACTGGTAAATAGGATAACTTCTGGAGAAGTCAGCAGAGAGAGCACCCAAATAATTCTGCAGCACTGACAGGGGAGTGGAGTCTCGGTGAACTTCTCTACCCGTCTCTGCCCTGGAGGACTGGAGTCAGCACTGGGCATTGCTCTTAATTTAGAGGCAAGGTGACAGATTGGTGTGTCCAGAGGAAGATGCTGATTCGCAGGGAGCTTTGCAGAATCACATCATCTTATGGAGGTAGATGGCTGTCTCAGGCACTACTTTTAGGGACCCTGGGCAAGTCACAAAAACGTTTTCGGGCTCAAGTTCCTCCTCAGTAAAACAGGGACCAATAATATTTACCTTTCAGGATTGTTGGGAGGAGTCAAGGAGCTAATGCTGGCAGGTGCCTGGAACCCTGTAAAGCCTCAATAATGGTGATTCTTACGAGAATGAATAATAATGCAACGTGAATATTTGTATTATCATTGTAATAATTATCCTTATTACTGTTCATATACATGTATCATATATATGTTCATATATACATATGTTCATATATATTTCATATTATGTATATATACATATATGTTCATATATGTGTATCTCATATATATACATATACATATACACACACACACACACACACACACACATATTGCTTTTGAGACAGAGTTCCTGTTGCCCAGGCTGGAGTGCAGTGGCGTAATCTTGGCTCACTGAAACCTCTCCCTCCCAGGTTCAAGTGATTCTTGTGCCTTAGTCTCCCAAGTAGCTGGGATTACAGGCGCACATGTAATTTCTGTATTTTTAGTAGAGGTGGGGTTTCGCCATGTTGGTTGGGCTGGTCTCAAACTCCTGGCCTCAAGTGATCCGCCTACCTCAGCATCTCAAAGTGCTGGGATTACAGGCATATAAATACCATCATTATTGATAATTACATTGATTGTGTTGTACTTGATGTATATCTGATACCTGTTTTATATATGATATATGGTAAATCTTGTATATATATTTCATACACATTAATATATCATTTAATAATTATAAAAATAATGACTATTTTATATTAAATGCCTATTACTATTTGGGTAATTAATAACCTTCATTGGAGGGATGAGAAGTTTTACTACTGAGGGTCCGGTTTGATTTCCCTCTCCCACTTAAACTGGCGCTTAGGGGCGCTAAAACCAAATGGATTATTGGAGACCCAGGGGTTTGGGTCCCTGGCCTGTATGAGATAGAGTGGAGAGCAGTTCAAGAAGCAGAGAGGCTGCTGGCTCAGATGTGCGACCTTAGCTCGAATGTGTGACATCAGACACGTCACCTGCCCTCTCTGCACCTCAGTCTCCCCATCTGGGAAGGGGTAGAGTTGTCATTGTTGTGATCTATCCTAACCCTCTCTGGGGGGCAGCAGCTGGGGACGGGCTGGGGTATGAAGGAATACCTTTCCCTCCGCAGGAATCAGGGCTGTCTGTATGGATTGGCGGGCAGCTGCACCCCCTGGAGAATGTGCCCCCCGCCCTGGCTGTGCTGCTCATCACTGTGGTCATCGCCTTCTTCACTGAGTTTGCCAGCAACACAGCCACCATCATCATCTTCCTGCCGGTCCTGGCAGAGCTGGTGAGGGTCCTTCTGGGGAAGAGGGGAGCACCCCTCCCCCAACACACATTCAGAAATCTTCCACCTGCCAAGGGAGCTTCACTGGCGTCTACAGTTGCCATTGCTGTCTTACAAAATACATAAAAGTGTGTCAGAACCACAGTACAATTTTTTTTAAATACTGGATGTTTTCCTTCAAAAAATGCATACATAGAGCAAGTAATTTCAAAGTGCTCCCAATTCTCTCTTTTGGGAAAATTAACCCAAGGTGACATGGAGAGTTTTCTAGAACAGGTGAATTACCAAATTTGGATTAAGAAGAAGTATAAAATCTGAGTAAACAAATGGCCATAGGAGAAATTCTAATGGTAAGCAAAGCAGTAGCCTCCCTCTAAAGCAGGGGTTTCAACACTGTTGATATTTGGGGCTGGATCATTCTATGTATGGGGCTGTCCCATGCACTACAGGGTGTGCAGCGGCGTCCCTGGGCTCTGCTCATTAGAGACAAGTGGCACCTTCGTAAATCATGACAATCAAATGTCTCCTAGCATTCCCAAATATTCCCTGTCGGGGGAACAATTTCCTTCCCCCCACCCAACTGATAACTACTGGGCTAAAACTCACCAGCCCCAGGCTGGGCTCTGCAGCTCATGCCTGTAATCCCAGCACTTTTGAAGGGTGAAGCAGGCAGATTGCTTGAACGCGGGAGTTCCAGACTAGCCTGGGCAACATGGTGAGACCCCATCTCTGCAAAAAGTACAAAAAGTAGCCAGGTTTAGTGGCAGGTGCCTGGGCAACAGAGCCAGATCCGGTCTCAAAAACAAAAACAAAATCACCAGCCCCAGGTGGTTTGCTGGGTGAGAGCTAGCAAATTTGCAAGGAACAGAGAGTTCCCAACTCAGCTGAACCAGCAGCAGAGAAAAATAGACATGGCCATTCAATTTATAGCTAGCAAAACCCTGGCCCCAAAACCAGATAAGGAGAGCAAGGGAAGAAAAAGCTGTAACTCAATCTCACCTGTAAAAAGAGATGCAAATAGCAGAATGAAACCATGATTGTATGAAAAGAACAATATATACACGATCAGGTAGCTTTTATACTAGGAGTTTTAAAAAGGAAACTATCAATATAGTTTTATATTTAAACAGATTAAAGACCAGACCATATAATTACCTTAATATAACCCACGCTGGTAAAATTAAATCAGTGATGCAAGTAAATGCTTTGTATGCAAACAGTGATGCCCCAGCACGCATACCTGCAGCACTTTGTCTTTGGTTTCTGTTTGCTTATTTCATGCATCAATTTGTCTGTGTTAGCACACGGATATGCACTGTGTTATTTTTCAATGACTGGAGGATATTCCATTATAAATGGACAGTTGTTGGTTTATTTAAGCAATCTCTCTGCCCAGTGGAAATATAGGTATTTCCAGACTTTGCTGTTATTCAACAATGACGCGTCACCTGAGCCTTCTCTATGCGTCATTGATTACATCTAGAGAAATTCCTATAACTGAGATTCCTGGGTCAAAGAGTATGTGCATTTGAAATGTTGTTAGAGATGAGGAAATTGCCCTCCAAAGTGGCTCACCATTTTACAGCAGTATGGGGTGGGAGTCCTCAGGAAGACCTGGTGACTGAGAGAAATGGGAGTGCTAAAGGGGGTATGGGGGAGATGAGGGAGTGTAGAACCCAGCCAGGTCTGTAAGGGGCAGCTTTTGCTGGAAAATACACTTGCAAATGCCTCATTCTTGTAAACTTTGCTTATCATCAAAATCAAAAAATATTTACATGCAAGGGGGTGATTTTAGAGCATTTTGAGAAAATAAATATGATTTGGGTTGCAAAAATTCCCTAGAAGGCCCAAAAACATCCTATTTAAGTAAAATGCCAGAGAAGTGATCAATATGAATTGTAGGCGGGAGAGGTGACAAACTGGTGGCCCAGTAGCTGCGGCCAGCTCGCAGGGGGGTTTGATACACACAGTCTTAGAAATTTGGAAGAGCTGCCAACAGATGCTCTCATGAGCTCTCTTTCGCACTGAAATCCAGGGATGCCCCCAACAAGAGGTATCCAGAGGCCAACTCTGGGTTGAGATTGTTTGGCTGAGGGAAGGAGCAAGCAGGGGAAGTGTTATAAAGCCCTGGTTCTCAGTGCACAGTCCTTACACCAGCAGCACCGGGGGAACATGTCAGGAATGCAGATCCTTGGGTCCCACCCCAACCTGCTGAATCAGCACTTCCGGGTAAGGTGGGGCCAGCCCTGTGGGCTTTAACCAGCCCTCCAAGTGCTTTTCTGCACTCTCACGTTGGAGAAAGAGTGTTCTAGATACATCACCGTAGCCCATCCCTGATCAAACCACAGTGTGGCCCTTGAATGTCACTAACCCTGGGAATGTTCTCTCCACCTGTCTCTCGATCTGGTTCTCTTCTTACCTGCTTGTGTCTGTTTCTGCCTGTGCATGTATCTTTCTGACTGCCTTTCTCTCTCTGTCTCTCTAACTCTCTCTTCTCACTTGTCCCTGTTGTCCTCTGCCACTCTGCCAATCTCTATGGATGTCTTTGTCTCTCTGTCTCTACGTCTTCTACGTCTTTGTGTCCCTCTTTCCAACTGCCTCTCTCTCTCTCTGTCTCTCTGTCTCTCTCTCTCTTTTTCTCTCGCTGTGGTCGCTCTGCGTTGGTCTCTCTCCGGGTCTCTGCCACCTTTTCTGGGCCCAGGCCATCCGCCTGAGAGTGCACCCCCTGTACCTGATGATCCCGGGCACCGTCGGCTGCTCCTTTGCCTTCATGCTCCCGGTCTCGACACCCCCCAACTCCATCGCCTTCGCCTCTGGACACTTGCTGGTCAAAGACATGGTGAGTCTGGGCATTTCCCAGCAGAGGCCACGGGAGGTGGATGGGCAGCAGGGGGCGGGCAAGGCCTCTACGCAGGACTCCTGCACCCTGACCCCACTCCCCAGTCTCTGAAAGGTCTTTCCGAGTGGGACCAGGAACATCCATTTTAGCAGAGACTCTGGGATGATTCTTGCACTTAGACAATCTCAGGAAACACTGCCTTAGTGACCCGTTTCCAAAATTTGCTCCAGGGACAAGGGACTCCCCCCTCCCTCTGGACCCCACTTCGTGCTCACGATCTTTAGGAGAGAGAAGCAGCAGGCACACCCTGGGACTCAGGTGGGCCTCAGCGCTCAGCCAGCTGGGAAGGAGACGGGAGCTGAGGACTGTAGCAGTGGGAGGGCCCCACCAGCTTTCAGCACGGCCCGGTCATTGGCAATATGTTTCCTCCCCCGGAAGGTCCCTGCTGAACCAGCTCCTCCCTTCCCACTCCTGACTCCTGCAGCCTTTTCCCTCTCCACTGGCTTTGCAAATAACCCTTCCAAAGCTGTCAAAGCCAGGAAGGGCGACCTGCTTAACCCATTCACGATGCAGGCCCTCCAGGCACAAGACCCCTGCAGGACGCATGGGGAGAGAAAGCAAGAGTGGGAGTGAGGCAGAAAGGGAGACACAGAGCAGACAGAGAAGAGAGGAGACAGAGACGCTCATTAATTTGTTTATTGATTGCAGCAGTATTTACTGAGTGCATTCTATGTTCCAGCCACTGGGGGCACTGCAGAGTGGGAGAGACACCGATCTGCCTCCAAGGAGGGTGCTTTCTATTGGTGGAGACAGGCGTCAACAAGTGCAGCAGATTTTCTTAAATTATGTAAATTTCAATATTGCTAGGTGCTCAGAAGGAAATAAAGCATGAGGAAGTGTAAGAGGACGGGGGAGAGGGGTGGCAGGGAAGCCCTCTCCAGGAAGGTGACATGGGAGGTGATCATGGGAAGCAGCCAGCCTCGCAAAGAAAAAGGGGAAGAGCAGTCCCAACGGAGGGCGTAGCAAGTGCAAAGACCTGGAAGTGAGGAATAGCAATGAGTGCTCCAGAAATTCAGGGCTGGGAGGCTGGGGTGGCTGCAGTGGAGTTGGGGAAGGATGAGGTTGGGGAACAGCAGGGACAGGGCAGAGTTGGTATCTTATTCAAACCACAGTGAGGACCCTCAGTAAGCAGGGCAATGATGTGATTTCACTTCTGTCTGTAGAAGATCATTTTGGCTGCTGGATGGAGTGGATCGTTAGGGTGGGAGGGACAAGTGTGGAAGCAGGGAGGCTCCTCAGAGAAAAAGACTGCGAGGGCAGCATTGCGAACAGCACAGATTTGGAGAACAAAGACAGCCAGAGAAATGGAGAGTCCCCAAGAGGTAGAGACTTGCAAGAGATGTGGAGGGATACAAGGGGCACTCCCGGTCAGTCAGTCACGGGCAGGGATGGCCCACCTGCAGGTTTGTTCCTGAGAGTGATGAATTAGGTGTTAATTAAATAGCTAACATGGGACTAGAAAGAATTTTGAGCCCTGGCAAAGGGAGACCCAATCCTCTCCCAGTTTTCCCAACGTGTTGGCCAGGCTCTCTCTAATCCTCCGAAGGTGCCGGGGCTTCCACTTCTGTGCCCTCAGAAGAGAGGCAGGACAGCACACGCAGTATGTCCCCCACCCGTCCATGGTAATATTTATTTAACACCTTTTCTAAATCGGCTTGACATTTAAAAAAAAAAAAAAAAAAAAAACTTAAATAAGAATATTCCAGAAGAAATGTTTCCAGCGCATCCATCAGTGGAAAACTGGTATTATTAATATATGCCATGGCATAAAAATAAATGCAAAGTGGCAAAAACAAAAGAATTAAGCCCTCCCTGATAGCAGCGGCCTGGAGAAGGTTCTGGGCCTCTCCTTGTTAAAAGGGCAACTGACAGAAGCAGAGAAGTGCTGAAGCCATGGTGGCCCCTGTGAACCCCAAAAATCTGAGACAGGTCTCAGTAAATTTAGGAAGTTTATTTTGCCTAAGTTAAGGACGCACACCCATGACACAGCTTCAGGAGGTCCTGACGGCATGTGCCCAAGGAGGGTGGAGCACAGCTTGATTTTATACATTTTAGGGAGGCATGAAACATCAATCAACATATGTAAGATGAACACTGGTTTGGTCCGGAAAGGCGGGACAACTCAAAGAGGGGAGGGGGCTACCAGGTCATAGGTAGATAAGAGACAAATGGTTGCATTATTTTGAGTCTCTGATGAGCCTTTCCAAAGAAGGCAATCAGATATGCATTCATCTCAGTGAGGAGAGGGATGACTGAGTAGAATGGGAGGCAGGTTGGCCCTAAGTAGTTCCCAGTTTGACTTTTTTCTTTAGCTTAGTGATTTGGGGGCCCCAAGATTCATTTTTCTATCACACCCCTAAGTGAGACTTTCTGTGGGAGGAATAGACAGACAGAGAATTAGAAAGGAAGTAACTGTCTCACCAAGTGATTCAGACTGGGCTATGTGAAGGCGGGGCAACCAGAAGACCCAGGTGGGAAAACAGGGATTTTCAGCCCAGGGTGGACTGAATGGTCTAAGAGGCCAGCCAGGGTGGGAAGTAGATGGGCACATCCAAGAGGCCAGCCAGGGTGGGGAGCAGATGGGCACATCCAAGAGGCCAGCCAGGGTGGGGAGCAGATGGGCACATCCTCCACTGACAGAAGAAAAATGCTTCCCAATGGACAAAGGTAACTTTGACTAGGACTGCCTGACTGGACTGGACCTGAAGTGTGTGTGTGTGTGTCTGTATATATGTGTACTTATGTGTGTTTGTACATGCATGTGTGTGTGTGCATGCGTGTGTGTATATGTGTGTGGGATAGGGGTATTTGGTGATCAGACAAGATTATTTTAGGTGACCTTGGGCAAGTCAACTTCTCTAGGTCTCATTTTCCTCTTCTATACAATGGGGATTAATAAGAATCACCTTTGTGAGGTTGCTTTCTGGGTTAAATGGCATAACCCTATGACAACTGCATAGCACACAGTGCCTGGAACATAGAGGCCATCAATGAATGGGGACATTGGCAGCTCTTTGAGTGACAGCCTAGGGTAGTATAAAGATTGAAGAGTCCCAGGCATTGACCAACCTGGGTCTGTGTCCTGGCTCCATCACTTCCTGGCTATGCGATCTTGGGTGAGTGACTTCCTGTCTCTGAGTCTGAATGTTTCCATCTGTATGGTGGGTCAGGTGCTGACCCCTCCCTCTGTCTGGGCTCTATTTCAGGTGCGGACAGGCCTCCTGATGAACCTGATGGGTGTCCTGCTGCTCAGTTTGGCTATGAATACCTGGGCACAGACTATCTTCCAGCTGGGCACCTTCCCGGACTGGGCTGATATGCACTCGGTCAATGTCACAGCATTGCCACCCACCGTGGCCAACGACACATTTCGGACCCTCTGAGTCGCCCTGGGGGACTCCCTTGAGGCTGAACCCTCTCAAAGGGCTGTCACCATCACCTGCTGCTAGGACACTACAAAGCAATCAAATAATTCTTTAATCCAATATGCGGCAAACAAGGGTGACCTCCAGTGGCCCACTCGGGTCCACCAGCCATTATCTAGGACACTTTCTGTCTCTCTCATGAAGTTCAAAGCCCAGGTATCTCTCAGATCTGCTGCCTGAGAAATAAGCTCCTTTATCAGTGAGCTGTTTTATCATTACGATGCAAGAGAGCCCAGTTTCATCAACAGTGAGCAAATCTGGCATCGTGTTTGTCTCGTACAGTTGGGATGGGAGGCCATTCATTCCCATGGGCACAGCTGACATCATCCCCCAGTGATTACTTTCAGTTACACTGGAGAGACCACCTTGTCTTTAAATATCATTTTCATGGGCTGCAATGTTCCAACCGAGTTGTTCCAGCTGTTCACAACCAATGTGTGATTTTGCTTAGTTGGTGCCCATTCTGCACCAGTTGTTTTACCCCTGCCAATAACCAGCAGTCAGAGATTCTTTTTTAATCCTTGGACACAGGGAAAGGGACAAATAGCTTTCCAAGGACATGAGACTGTGCAAAGCCTCTTTGCTGTTTCTCTGGGCTCCTAAGCATACCAGGGGAAGTTCTAGAAACCTCAGCTGACATCTCCACCCGAGAGATTTAGGATTCTCCTGTTTCTTCTGGGTCAGTTTGGCCATAATTCTGGGGTCACGCCAGGCCTGGGCCCTGCCCTCCCATGGGGTGACTCATGACCCCGCCAGCCAGGACCCCCCTACCTGTGGCCCCCAGAGGCCTCTGTGGCTGCAAGGCAGTCAGTTGCTGCTTGTCCCAGCAGGTGGCCTTGATCTCTCCATGCACCACCTTAAGTGGTAAGCATGTTTAGTTATCAAAGGCCCCATTTGTCAGGGGTGAGAGAAAAGTCAAAAGATAAATTGGGGACTTGTAAAAGGCCGGGGTAAAATGTCTCAGGCAAGCAAAAGATTGTCCCCTTCTACATATGGGTAAAACTGAGACATCCCCTTGAGCCCGAGGCTGGAAGTCGTGTCTGCCTTCAAGGGTTAATCCCTCTTTGTTCCAAGCAGAAGCATTCTGGCATCCCAGTGAAGAGCACAGGCCCTCAGTGTCTTCTGAATGGAATGGCCCAGCGTTAGCCCAGTATCAGAAAAGACACTAGCCCAAGGGCCCTGAATCTTCACACTTCCCTTTCCTAAGCCTCTGAGGGTGGAGATTCCCCTAGGAGCACTTGGCCAGCTGGGAAGGCAGCACCCAGCTGTACTTGTTGTTGATACAGCATAAGTGAATCATGGGCATTTCCCTGAGAGCAGTGGGAGAGGCCCTCTGAGTTGGAGGTTGAGCTCCACCTCCTTTCCAAGCGAGCACTCAGTGCTGAATCACAGTTACAACCCACTGGGGCTGGCGGGAGGTACGTTGTATGGGACTGGAAGCAAGAGGTTCATTCAAAGAGAAACTCCTGGGATTTGTAACCAGATGAATCATGATTTCAAAGACTTCTGATCAAAAATACTGTGAAATAAAGAATGTTAATCAACATTGGATCTGGAGATGATCTGCCTTTCTGAACCTAAGAGAGCTTCAAAGCCCCAGATTCCTGGGCTGGGGATTCCACAGAGTTGACCTGTCAGATTTTCAACTGCTCTTCCCTCCCCTCTCCAGCCACATACTCAAACTCTCCTGCCTCAGGGCCTTTGCACGTGCTGTTCCCTCTGCCTAGAACACTCTGCTCCCAAATATATGTCTGGTTCCCCGACTCACTTTATTCAAGTCCCTGCTCAGGTGTCACCTTCCCTGAGAGGCTTCCCTGACCTCCTGTCTAAAATATCACCCTCATTACTCTCCACCCCCTTACTCTGTTATATTTTCTCCTTAATAGTTAGGACACTGTATAACTTATTTTCTTATTATCTTCTTCTCCCTCTAGAAGATACATTTATGAAAATACAAATGACTTTTTTTTTTTTTTTTTTTTTTTTGCTGCTGTAACTTCAGTTCCTAGAACGATTTCCAGCACATAGCAAGTGTTCAGTAAATATTTGCTGCTTGAGTCTGCACCAAAATGAACAAGAAAGCCATCTTGCCCTCTGATCTGGAGTCTGTTTTGTTCATTACTTTGTTCACTCCTTCTTCCATTTATTCATTCAATAAACATTTATTGGGAACCTGTCATATTCTTGTTCATTGTCCCGCCCACATAGAACTTATATACTGGCAGGGGAGACAGGCAATAGGAAAATAAACAAATAAGTCATGGGTTATGATGCCGGCTAGGAAGAACATGGCCAAGATGTTAAAGTGACTCAGAGGTTACTTTAGCCAGGGCGGTTGGGGAGGACTTCTCTGAGGAGGTGGCATTAGATTGAGACCTGAAGGAGTCAGCCAGATGCTCATGGCAATGCGGGAGGAAGGGAGAGGTGGGAGCGATGGGGAGTCCCTGGGGAGAATGTTTCAGGAAGGGGGACTGCAAGTGCAGAGGTTCAGATGAGCAGATTGCTTCACTTAGCCAGGTGCTCTGAGCTGGAACTTTGTGGCATTTGGACATCTAGAGTCTGCCTCTTCTGGCTGGTTACCAGGCCTCTCTGCAGCTTTCCTGAGAAGGCATCCCAGCTTACTCCGACCGGATGTTACTCAGTCCTTGAAACCTGAAGGGCTTTGCCATTCTTAGTGAAAAAGATCTGCAGGCAGAAGACAGCAGCACCATTATGGTGTGCTCATGGCAGCGTGGGAACAAGGAGATGGCAGGGCTGGTACAGAGTCATCGGAATACACCAAGGGCTCATGTCCAGAAGATATGCGGAGCACCCCAACTCAGAAAAGACAAACAAAACGAACAAAACCTTGCTTTTGTTATCTGTGACTGCGTAACAAACCATCCCCAAACTTAGAACTTTGAAACAGCAACTTCTCGGCTCATGTTTCTGCATTTGGACAGAGCTCTCTCTGCAGGGATGGCATTGTCTCTGTCCCATGAGCTGGGAGCTTTGCTAGGGCTGGAAGGTCTGCAATGACCGCTGACACTTCAGGGTCTCTCTTCATGTGGCTTCTCCAGGAGTCTATCCTGGACCTCCTTACATGATAGTGGCCTTCAAGAACGACAAAAATCGAAGCTAAAAGGCCTCTAAGGGCAGGATGTGGAAGTCTAAGGATGTCAATTCTGCCAAATTCTATTGGTCAAAGTAGCCCACAGGACTGCCCTGGTTCAAGGGGAGGGAAACAGACTCCAGCCCTTGATGGTAGGGGCAGCATCCACCAGGGAGGGGGAGGGACAGTGGGCTGCCATGTTTGGAAGCCACTTACCATAGGTCCCAAGGGAAAAGTGGACAAAAGGTGTGACATGTCATCCTGAAAAGAGATATCTACCTAGCCAACAGGATTATGAAGAGATACCCAAACCTACGTGTTTATAATTTGCAGGAAAATGCAAATTAAAAGAAATTCAACAACATGCCAATCAGACTGGGAAAAAATCAGAAAAGCAGACAATAAGTCCTGGTAAGATACAAGGAAACAGAAACCCCGTCAGCCCGGCCAGCAACTTGGAAGTAATTAGGGGTATTCATTATCTGTATTTCCTATGACCGAGAAAACTACCCGATGGGTCCTAAGGAGACAGTGTCAAAGGATATTTGTACCATGGTTGTTTGAGGCCACCAAGGTGACCATCACCGGGGGAGTATTGAAATAAAATATAAAGGAAATACAGTAAGGAAAACACAGGAACACGTAGAAGTGATGAACTACAGGTACACAGAGTGACAGGTTACACACAGATATATTCCAGTATGGGTGTCAAACAGATACAGAGTCAAGTAGGTGGAGAAATGGAGGTGGTGATGGTAGTTGTAAAAAAAGAGATGAAATAAAAGTCACTAAACAAGGAGTCAATAAGCCTCATTGGAATCCTGGCTCCATCTCTAACATGCTGTGTGACCTTGAGCAGATCTCTTTACTATTTTTTTTTTTTTTTGAAACTGGCTCTTGCTCTGTAGCCCAGGCTGGAGTGTGGGGTGCAATTATAGCTCACTGTAACCTTGAACTCCTGGGCTCAAGTGATCCTCCCACCTTAGCCTACTGAGTGGAAAGGACTACAGGTGTGCACCACCATGCCTGGCTTATTTTCTTATTTTTCTGGAGACAGGGTCTTGCTATGTTGCCTAGGCTGGTCTCAAACTCCTGGCCTCAAGCAGTCCTCCTGCTTTTGCCTCCCAAAGCACTGGGATTATAGGCACGAGCCACCGCACCTGGCCTACTATTTTGGATTTCGATTTTTTCATCTGAGAAATGAGAGCACATGGGGGGTCTCAAGAGGAAGTAGAAAGCATGCAAACTAGCTAATTTGTGGAGAGTTCAGTGAAAGGTCAAGTTACAAGGTGAGCAGAGAGTAGGGGGACCACAGGAAAAATGTGGGACCCCAGTGCTGAGAAATCAGGGAGCGAGAAGTAGAGGAGCACCTCCCAGCCCAAGGCCTTAAGGGAGCAAGCTCCCTGATGGGATCTGGGTCCAGGGACACAGCTGGCTCTTGGTGACTGCAGGAAGGGGAGGGCTCTTCCTCTCCTCCATCCCTCAGCTCTTCTGCTGGGGAGTCAGGGCTCCTTAGAGAAACCAACAAACAGGGTGTGCATGCATGCGTGTGTGTGTGTGTGTGTGTGTGTGTGTGTTTCTTATCAAGAGAGAAGGAGAAAGATTTAGGAATTGACTCACACCATTGTGGAGGCTTAGCGAGTCCAAAATCTGATGGGGAGACCAGTAGGCTGGAGAGCCAAGAAAGTGCTGCAGTTGGAACCTGAAGGCTGTCTGCTGCAGAGAGTCCTCTTGCTCAGGGAGGGTCAGTCTGTTGCAGTATTCAGGCCTCCTACTAATGGATGAGACCCACTCACGTTCTGAAAGGTGATCTGCCCTACTCAAAACCCACTTACTCAAATGTTACTCTCATCTCAAAGCATACTCACAGAAACATCAAGAGTGATGCATAACGAAATCTCTGGGCACCACAGCCCAGCCAACTTGACGCATGAAATTGTATGTGTTGCACCGACAGGAGCCAGAATGCAAGCGGGGCTTTGATGCAGCCTGTCCAGGTCCACCTCCCGGATGCAGGGCAGGGAGGAGGAGCATGGGGAGAGGTCTGGAGAAACAAGCTTTGAGAAGAGTACGGCACAAAGGGTTGACACATCAGAGCTTGAAATCTGGTGCCAGCCCTCAGCCAAGTTTTGTTTGTCCTCTCCCCAATGAGGTTTTCTTTTATTTTAATTTTATATTTTATTTTATTTTTGAGACAGAGTCTCGCTCTGCAGCCCAGGCTGGAGTGCACTGGCCTGGTGTGATCTCAGTTCACTGTAGCCTCCATGTCCCAGGCTCAGGTGATCCTCCCACCTCAGCCTCCAGAGTAGCTGGAAGTGCACACCATCACGCCCAACTAATTTTTCTATTCTTAGTGGAGATGGTGTTTCTCCATGTTGCCCAGGCTGGTCTTAGACTCTTGAGCCTCAAGTGATCCTCCTGCCTTGGCCTCCCAAAGTGCTGAAATTATGAGCATGAGCCACTGTGCCTGACCCCTGGTGAATTTTAAATTATTATTTGCTAGTCATTAAAATTTAGGAGATTTCACATAAAAATCTGGATTTCTGCTTCTCTTGGAAAGGACAATACCAGATCGAACAATATGAGACCCTCACTGGCATCTGGCAACAATTGTTTGGAGCTGAGTAGTTTGTGGAGGAAATCTTAAGTTGGAACGTAAGCATTCATCAGCCTCAGTCCCCACCACTCTTTAATGTCTTACACTGGCTCTCCTTGTTCAACTCTCTCACTTTCCTGGCTTGTGAAAATATTTGAATCTACGACCTTTGAATTGCACGATCTGGGAGGTCTATTTCAGCATTAGCGGTCATGGGTTCTAATGACCTAGAGCAGCACTACCCACTGAACTTTCTGTAATGATGGAGATGGTCTATAAGTGCCCTGTGCAACACAGTAGCCACTCGCTATGTGTGGCTATTGAACATTTGTCTTGTGGCTAGTTCAAACTGAGATTTGTCATAAGTAGAAAACTGTAATATAAGAAAATAAGTGTAAAATATCCTGTCAATTTGTATATTATTTACATATGAAAAGGATATTTGTGATATGTTACATTGAGTAAAATATTTTATTAAAATTAATTTCTGTTTTTAAAAATTCAATATTTTAAATTTTAAAAATGTTATGGATCAACTTGGCTGGGCCATAGTGCTCAGATATTTGGTCAAGCATTATTCTGGATATTTCTGTGAGGATGTTTTTAGATGAGACTAACATTGGAATCAGTGGACTTGGAGTAGGGCTACTAGAAAAGTTTACATTATGCATACGGTTCGAGTTGGCTCACATACTGTTGCTATTGGATAGCACCAGCAGTACAGGAAGATTTTGGCTGCTTCTCTGTATTCTCAAACCATCTGGACAGTGACAACATTGAAGAAGGCTGAAGAATTCAATGACTCTAATATTCTGTGCAGCGGGGCGCAGTAGCTCACGCCTGTAATCCCAGCACTTTGGGAGG